CCCAGCCAGAGCAGGGGTGGAAGGGCTGCAGGTTTGAAGGGCAAGTGTGGGGTTTTGAAATGGATGCCAGCAACACTCACTGCAGATGAGAGCCACCAGCAGTTCAGACCTTCACACCAAGCAGTGATTTGATGCAGGTCAGAACAAAGCTCTTTTTAAAGACCCCCAAGTGCACATGGACATGGATTTGGGTCTGTTTCCAGGGCAAGCTTCTCCAAACTCCAAGAAAATTATCTGTATCCTGCCCTTGCAGCCTGACCTGGGAAATCAGTGCCATTCAGATGCCATGTGATGGGACTCATGGTGACATCCATCCCAGTCTGAGATAGTTATCTAGGCAGGAGTCTCCAAAGGTGGTCCACCTCAGGGAAGTGTCTGAGGTAGGCAAGATATCTTCTCTAGGATGTGCCCGTTTCTCTCTGACGACTGGTGGGAAAGATGACTGCCCTTGACTAGCTGCCTCTAAGGAGCTTAAAGAGAAAATCTGCTTTTAGTGCTGAGTGAAATGAGGAAGAAGAGCACCTTGAGAGTGGATGTAGCCTGGCAGAGGCTTCCTGTAGGCAGTGCTTCATACCCCTACATCTCTAATATTTTGAATGAAGTGGAGAGCTGTGCTACAAACATTACATTTCCTGTGGCAAATGCTGACCCAGCATTTATCAAGGTAACAGTTTATTTCTACTACAATTTCTTTCTCCATCCAGGTCCTGTGCATCTTGCTGGGGCATATGAGGTCCTAGAGTGAAATCCCAGCTTATCTCCATTAATGCCAGTGATGTTGGATATGTCCTTGGGACCCCAATTCTGTACCTCTGAATGCTGTTCTTGCAGCAAGCAAAGGTTTAACTCAGCACTGCCATGCCCCATCACTTCACCCAACACGATGCTTTAACAGCGCTGACAGGGACTTTTCCACGCTTCAGCATGAGTGTTGGTCTTGGCTGAAAAACCCCAGTAACTGGAGGTTAAGTCACTCCATCCCAAACCCAATACTCTCCTCTGCCAGACCTCCCCCATTATTCTTTGATTTCTTGTCTTTCTTTCCATGCAACACACTCACTCCCACAGGAAAGACTTTTAGGAAACACTGTGATTCCAATGTTTTTTAGCAGTGTTGCCATAAGGAGCATGAGGAGATAGCTGGGACTCAACATCTCTCCCCTGGATAGGTAAAGGGCAAGACTTGGGTGCCACTGCTTGGCTTTGAGTGATTGGAATTCTGTAACACTAACTTCAACCACTTATGGACATTTTGTGGTGGATGAACACTGCCATCACACCCTTATCCACGGCACCTTTATCAACTTTGCCCTCAAATCAGGCTTCCAGAAGGCAGGTGTGTATCTGTCAATAAAAAAAGTGTGTGTGTGTACATATATATATATAGGTTCGGGTGTTTGGTAAGGGGTTTGCATGCCTATAATGTGATGCTCAAAATCAGTCCGTTAGGTTAATGATTGGACTGGATGATATTGGAGGTCTTTTCCAACCTCAATGATTTTGTGATTCTATTCTGTTTATTATAGTGCTGATTTCTTTGGCAGATTTTGTAAATCTCCTAGATATGGTGAAACTTTAAACTCAATATATTTGTGATATGGTCTCTCAGACAAATACTCAAACATATTTAATAAGCAGTTTCACAGCTGTAGACTGTCCTGGATAACTCCTCAGGATCTCTATGGTTCTTGTGCCACCTTTCTCATTACATCTCTGGTTCTGCTCTGAACTTGAGTTCACCACTGCTGAGGATGCCCTTCTAACAAAACTGGAAAAAGGAGATATGCAGACTGATCTTCAGGCCAAACAACTCTTCTGAATTATAGATCATTAGGGACTTCAAATTTTGAATGGAATTTGGAAAATGATCTATAAGGTTTCCTAAGGAGCCACTTCCTAGTCCTTCTCTTCATTTCCCAAGCATCCAGGTAGCAACTTGGACTGGTTAACTTCTCACCAGCTGTTCAGCAGCTGGGTTGGTTATCCAGGCTGTGCTGAGCTCACAGCTGTCACAGTCACACAGCTCTCAGCGCCACTTTGAGGATAACTTGGTCACAGCCAGGTGAATCCCAGCCCCAGCAGTAACAGCAGGGAGAGGACAGCACTCACACTTAAACATCATCATCATGATCACCACCACCATCACCATCATCACAGCCCCAGCAGTAATAGCAAGGACAGGACAGCACTCACACTTAAACATCATCATCATGATCACCACCACCATCACCATCATCACAGCCCCAGCAGTAATAGCAAGGACAGGACAGCACTCACACTTAAATATCACCAACATCATCACCACCATCATGATCCCCACTGCAGAGTCCTGTGAAAAATGCTGTTTTAACCAGCCAGTGAGAATGAGAGGACTCCACCTTGTTATTTTTCCCTATGTAGAAGGAACAAAGTGTTTATTTTCCAGCTGGTTGTCTTGCAGTTGCAGGCAGGCATCCAGTTATCAAGCTGGGCTCTTCCTATCACCTACCCTGTTGGCAAACAAAGCCCTGCATGCCAGATAGTGCCTCATTTTTTTAGAACTGTGCTGTTCCTGTGATGTCTCTGGATATCTCCAGATAATTTAAGCATTAAACTGTGTGTTTCAGACTGGAGAGTGAGGAGTGTAGAAAAACAGTATAAGCAAATGAGCTGGTTAGATTTTTTATAGTGTTTAAGATTCTGAGTGGCTCTGTAGAGTAGATCTACCTCTGTTGACAAAGGACCAACCTCAAAATGTTTGGGATGTCTCTGGGAAGAGGATAATACTGTCCCTGATATCTGCTATCCCCCCATCAGCCAGCCCAGGCAGATGAAATGCAGTTGGGTTCACAGAACATCCCACTTGAGATGCATGGAGTGTTTGTTCCTCTGCACTGGACTCCGGCGTGGGCCATGCTTATCACTGCATCCATGGAAAATGCAGGAAATCCCTGGTGAAGTAGAGTTTCCACCTCATGTCTTCCCAACAAACATATTTCCCTAACTCAGTGTCCTCCTTTATGGGGATTTAAATTCAAGAAATGTTCTGCTTGAGGTTTTGCAAACACAAAAGCCAAGCTGTGCTGGCTGTTTTCAAAGATCACTTGGACTGAACAGTGATCAAAACCAAACTCTCTCCTTTTCAGCACAATTTCTGGCCCTTTATCTGTGTGCTCCCCATCTTGCTAGTATCATTTATAAAAGAGCCCTAGAGAGAGAACAGTTGGGGCAAGAATTTGCCATAGAGTAAAACCCCACAGAGCTTTTGCACAAGGAACAAGAGCTTCCAAGGGAGTGGAAGCAGTTGCTGTGTTTGTGTTGACTGGCCATGGTTTCCCACTGCTGGGGGTTTCCAAAGCAAATGAAATGTTATTCATCAAGGCAGGCTCCCTCCCCAGCCTTCAGTTGTTGAAAATACTACAAAGTAAGATGGAAAGAAACATGTAATCCTTCATCATCACAGTCTGGATTTACTTGTTTACTTAGATTCCCTGTCTGTTCCAAATGTTCTGCCAGAGAAAGCCCATCCAGACTCCAGGAGTGCTTGACACACATAGAAAAATTTCTAGATGTATTTAGAAGATAAATCCAGCAGAATACACTGCCTGTCCTCACAGTGCAGCAGCAAAATGAAAGTCCCACATGCATAATAAAATAGCTCAGGATATTTTTTGTAGGGCAGAAAAAAAGCAGGAGCACCTGAGGAGAAACTGATTTTGACGTGGATCTTCTAAATCAGAAACTTTTTAGTGCTGGCCTTGAGCTCCCTGTTTGCTGCCTGGAAAATGTGTTCCAGGTAGGAAAAAATGGAACTTGGTGTCTTTGTGGTCAGTAAAAGGAGAGAGCTGTGTTCAGAGGGTGATTCCTCCCTCTGCCCTAGGAGGTGCAAATCAGCCCCTGCAAGAGTGTCTCTCACTGCAGGCTCTACAGGGGAAATGCAAAGAGAGAAGCCCAGACCTGAGTCTCACTTTTAGCTTAAGAGAAGGCAGCTGAATCCCATCCTGAGTGAGGCTGTGTTGGGAACTGACTGCTCAGCAGCCCCAGCTGGTATTTGCCATCCCACTCCTGTTGCTGCCCCTACAGACATGGGTATGTTTATGAGACCATAAACATACCCATGGGATCAGAGAGATCAGATTTTGGGTCATCCTGGGATGAGGTAATAGAAGATGAGCACTTGTCCAACAGATGTTTTGCAGTTGTACCAGCATCCAACCCTGTGGATTAGAAAATGCCCTGTGAGCTGTTCTTCTAGTGGTGCCTTGGGGGCAGCACCTTTGAAACTGCCTCTCTTTTTTATCACCTATCTAAGAGCACTGGCATGAAGGAACATCAAGAATTTGATGTCCCTTCTGGGGGCAATATTGCAGTAAGTTGTATGGGGTAGAGTGGGAGGGGCAGTTTTCAGGCAATGACCCCCCAAATAATTTATGTTAAAGTTATGGGATCATGGATGCTCCTAGAGACTGCTGAGATCTTACCCTCCAGGGTTTTGTCTTAAACAAGCCAATATAATGGGATGTGTAAGACACCTCTGTTCCTGGAAAAGCGAAATAACCAGTTCTGTGTTTGGCAGGTGCTGTCCTTATTTCTCATGTTGACATAAAGAGCTAAGGGCAGGCTCTTATCAGAATCTGGGGTTTCTGACGGGCTGCTAAGCTGAATCAAAACCAGAGTTTTCCAAAAGTGACATCCCTTGACCCAAACTCAAGTTTAGTACCAGAATTTGGGCAGCTTTTCTCCATAAATTTGATGAAGCCTCAGTGCACTGGACAGATCTAACAAAACAGTTCATAAAAGTAATTTTGAATCACTAGTATCATTAAGATCAACAATTTTGGGTCTTAACTAAATCCACAAGTGAAAGAGAGGATTTTACTTAGAAGGATATAAAAACAAATAAAAGCTCCCACAAAAAAGCATTCAGCTTTTGAAAAGTTGTGAGGTGTTTTCAGCAAAGCCTGAATTAACCCTTGCTGTACTAATTTTTGTGCAAAACTGACCTGCTGCTGTCCCCACAGCTGATGTGCTCCTCGGTGCAGAAGGCCCTGTTTGAGGAGGAGGACAGGGTGAAGAAGCTGCAGCAGAAGGTGGCGGCGCTGGAGAAGCGCAACAAGCAGCTGCGGGACCGGGTGAAGAAAGTCAAGAGGTCTCTCCGGCAAGCCAGGAAAAACTCCAGGCACATGGAGGTGGTGAACAGAAAGCTCAGTGAGAAACTTTCCTCTGCAGGTGGTCAAATGCCCTATATTAACTCTTTGAAGCAGGAGAACTCCCACGGTACCTACCTGAAGGTATAATGCAGGGTAAGTGCTCAGGCCCGTGGGTTTTGTCTGCGTTAGAGCAGGGTCTGGCCCTCACACCTTCTCTATGCTGTGCTTCAAACCTTGCATGGAAAATGACTCTGACCTTGCTTTAGACACAGTGCCAGATTAAACAGGAATGCCAGCTGGATTTGGCACAGCCCACAGCCGTGTCCTGCTGTTCTCAGTGCACACAGGGCCTGACAATCATCTGTGCTTCTCCTCCCTCACCCAGCTGCACCTCCAGCTTTAGGCCGTGCTTGATGGAAGTGCCAGCCCAGACCTCTGGGCTATTGACAGGCACTTGACACAGGAGCTCCTCCTGCCAGTTTACCTCCTCCTCATGGGTGGGCAAGCAAGGCTTCCCAAATCTTGGGATCTGAAGAGGGATGTGGTGGGAAGGATGAAGGCATGGATGCCCTTCACTCCCTTATCACCCCCAGGCTCTCGGCCTTGAGCTTGACTGAAGTCCTCACCCAGTGCCTGGGCATAGGCTGTGTCTGAGACTCAGGCAGTTTGTGACCCTCTTCAGCACTAAATATAAATGTGCTCAAATTGTCTTAAGACTGTCCCTGTATTTCTTTAAATATTCTAAATCGAATAAATAACAACTTTTATTTTTCCAAAAAGTGCCTCAAAACTCTCAGTAACTCCCCGAGTGCCTTTATCCCTGGTCAGCCAGCTGGGTTGGAAACCACATCATTTTGGGACTGTGTCTAAGACCAAATCCTGCAGTCAGGAGTGGACTGAGCCTATGAGTGGGTGTTGGATCAGGCCCAGCAGGCAATTTCAGATCCCATTCTCAAGCAGGTTTAATTACAGTGTGGACAAAGCTTCAAGTTTTGTAGTCACTGAGGTATAATGGAGGTTGCTGGGCAGCCTCATTTAGTTACATTTAAAACCTGTAGAGACCACATCAATATCAACAGGGCATTAAAAATTTAGGTAGTTTATATATGTATATATTTTAAAATCCTATAGAAAATATTTTTATTACACATTTGATATAGTCTAATTTCTTAAAATATGAAGTAAAACCTGTTTCTTGGTTATCTCATAAAAAAGAAAAGTCCATCATATCTTTTATTAGGCATTTAGAAAATCACTTCTGCTCAAGCAGTGTGGGTTTAGGCCTCAGTATCCATGGCTGATAATATTAGTGCTTGAAACTATCCCTGCACTTGGAAAAGCCCATATCAGCTTTCAAATGTGAGCTTCAGGCCAAGCAGAACACAGAAGCTGACTCTCATTACCTTCCAGTTTTGCTCCTTTTGGAAATACATTTTGTTTTCCCCTCTTGAAATAATATTGGCATTTTTAAAGATTCTGACTCCTCCTCCAGCTCCACTGGTTTCAAAGGATCCACCTTCCACATCACCAGAATTTGAAATGTTTTCTGCTGGAGTCAGCAATGCTGTTTCCTGAGAATAACTACAGAACTTAGGCTTCCCTAGAAGCCATCAAGAGATTTTAACTCCGCAATTTAAATCCATAGAAAAGTAACTACTTTTTGTTGTTTTATTTTCTGGCTTCTAAACTACTGTTTAAACAAATGAACTGATTTTCCTGGCATAGGTATTAAAAGCTTGTGTTTTAATTTTTTGTCAAGAAAAATATTCCCTCTGGTATTCATTCATGTTTTATAAGTGTTTGTATAAAGCTGAGAAAGTATAATTAATATAGTTAAACCTTTGCTGTTCTTACAGATTTTCCAAACACAGTGTTGAATATCTTTTTCTTTTGGCTGGTATTTTTGTTGCTTGATGAAAAGATTGGAATTTTCTTCCTGTTTCCCCCTTTGTCTTCCTTAAAAAAAAAAAAATTAAAACATTTTGTTCTCCTTGTAAGTTTTGTAAGAATTTCATTTATTCTGCAAAGAAAACAAAAAGAACCTCCCAAAATGCAAAGTCCAAATGCAACCCAAAATGCTCTCACTGGGTACAAAACTCAAAAAGTGTTGTTTCCTTGTGAGGTTTTTTTTTTTCCTTTCATTCCTGCTGGGGTTTGGATCATTTCCAGAGATAAGGACTAGCAGTCAGATCAGTCACAAGTTAACCCTCTCGACAAGTAACAGGGGATGCCAGACCTGAATAAAAATGCCATTAAAGTGTCAGCACTGAGTGCCTGTCCCTGCTGGTGACACTGTCCAGAGAGGGACCAGGAAAGCTGCACGTGCAGGAAACACAAGAGGAATGAGGAATTTGGGTTCTGTCCACCCAGGGCTGGTACACATCACAAAGCTATGATTTTTAGACCCACTCCGTAGCAATTTCAGGGATCAGCTCATCTGGAGACCTGCAAAAAGGGCAGAATTTCATGCCATTTCCAAGAGTAATGGGAAAGGCATGGTTGAGTATGTTCCTCTTGAAAAACTATGAGGGAAGGGCTGAGATGCAGAAATGAAGAGGAGGTTGGCATAGCTGGGTGGGTTCACAAGAGATGGTGCAGAAACCCAAAAATCATCCTGGTAAAAAACAGAAAGACAAAAAAATTCCCCATTTTGTTAGAAACAGCACCAAATGTGTCAGTTCCCCCTTGAGAAGTTCAAAGATGCTTTACAAATTAGTAACATCTGCTTTTTCAAAACATATCAGGAGCTTGAAGGCTGCCAGAGCATCTGCAGGACCAGTGCTAGGGGTGACCAGAGCAGCTGGACACAACTGGAGACAAGGATGGGATTTTTGGCATCTGTCTGCACTGTGGGGATGTTTTTGTGGACAAATAAATTTTTCCTGATGGATACAGAGGATGACAAGAAGTGAAAGAGCAAAATTAATAGTAACAGGGCAGAGTAACTGTAAAAAGGATGAGAAGAGGGGAGGAGAGGAGAGAAAGAGAAGAGGAAGAGGAAGAGGAAGAGGAAGAGGAAGAGGAAGAGGAAGAGGAAGAGGAAGAGGAAGAGGAAGAGGAGAGGAGAGAAGAGAAGAGAAGAGAAGAGAAGAGAAGAGAAGAGAAGAGAAGAGAAGAGAAGAGAAGAGAAGAGAAGAGAAGAGAAGAGAAGANAGAGAAGAGAAGAGAAGAGAAGAGAAGAGAAGAGAAGAGAAGAGAAGAGAAGAGAAGAGAAGAGAAGAGAAGAGAAGAGAAGAGAAGAATGACAGAAAAAACAGCAGAGGGGAAATCATTCTCTTAGGGATTCTCCTCTTTTAACCATCAACACATCCCTCTTGTACTATTTCTGTCATAACTTTTGCAGGACTTGTGTGTCTCACAGAGTGTAAGTGGATAATTCAGATGGTGATCTGCACCCAAAAACATCTTAAGGTTTTAGACTTTACCACTGAATTTTCTGGGGTTTTTTGAAAGTGGATGTTTATAGAAGAAAGTGTATAAAAATAAACTTTTCTCATAAATCCCAATTATCATCCTGATTTAAAAACCCTACCTGAATAACTGGGGAAGAACCACAAAGTGAGGTAGGATTCATGGGGAGCAGACACTGTTAGTAGCTTTCTTTGCTCCTTAACACCAAAACCATTGAGAAAAAAATTACTTCCTTATGTTTGAATAATAACTTAGGGAAATAGTCATGTTATTCTATTTGGGTTTTGGCAGAAGGGGGTTTTGGAACCAAAGAGCACATCAGGGTTTCAGAGTTGTATCAGTAAAGCCCATTTCTAATACACAAGACCTCTTGCCAAGCTAGGTAATCTCCTATTAATGAGGCAGAGGAGCCCAAATTAATTTCTGAAAGTAGGAGAAAAAACATAGAGGCAAAACTGTAGAAAGCAGATGAAACTGAAAACGTGTCATTCTTTCTTATAACAAATCCAAGTAATTGCAAGGAAATTTCATTTTCCTCCCTATTTAACCCCAATTATTTTCATTTAATCACAGACATGCACCTATTTCCCTCCAAACCAGCCTGCTTTGCGTGAGAAACATCCTTTCCAGCATGTGCTTGGGTTCAGGCATGCTCCTGATCCCCCAGACGAACATAGAGAGCAGGACAGCACATCCCAGCACACATGTCACTGCTGGGAGGCTCCCTGGCCCTGCAGGACACCAGGCCATGCCAGCAGGGATGTCTGCAGGGCAGGCACAGCAGGGATTCAGTGCTGTCCTTGTCAGGAGTCATCTTTGGGGGATCAGGATTTGGCATGGATGATGCCAAGCTGGGTGAGAGCTGGGAAGTGCTGATTTGCTTGAGGGTGGGAGCTGGACAGGCTGGTTTGGTGGGCTGAGGCCATTGCATGAGATTAAAAAAGGTGAAATCCTGAACTTCAATCACAGCAACCACAGCATCACAGGCTGGGGGAAGAGCAGCTGTGTCATGGACATATTTTCTGAAAATTCCTTTGCTAGGATTTTTTCTCCTGAGAAGCTGAGAAGCCTCAAAGGAAAAGAAAAACAATAATTATGTGCTGCTGTGGAATGCAACAGGTGCATCTTTGATTGGTCCATGTGAGTTGTTTTTACTTGGTGACCAATGACAGCTGGCCAGAGGGGCAAAACCACTTCTTTTAACCTCCATAGCTCAATTTCTTCATCCCTTTCTCACCCAGGAGGTAAGAGTGGGACTGATGGGAGATGCTCCCATGGGGTCACAGGTGGCTTGGGAAGAGGTCAGGGGATCCTTGTGTGGAGCTGAGCCAGGATCCACCAGGCAAGGGCTGGACCAAGGGAGAAGGGAGGAGGAAAGCACAGACCAGCAGGGTGTCCCAGATGGCATTTCTGTTCCATTTATCCTGCCCAGAGAAAAGCAGAGAGCCCCCAAGGTCACAGGAATTTATTGATCTGCCATGGCACTAAACCCCAGGCTGACCATGGAGAGGATGAGCTGCCTGTTCTCTGCTCACCAGCCAAGGACAAACACATGGCCACATCAGAAGGGGGCTTGCTTGAACTCTTCCCATGCACTTTCATGGGAACAGGGCAACTGTTTTGTTTTCCTCTCTTTAATATTTCTCTTATGATTATTTCTGAAATACTCTGCTTGCTGGAGACTTGGCCTAAAGAGATATGGAAGAGAAAATGTCACAGACTGTTGTCAATGAATTATTTTCCTTATTTCTCGAGGCCAGTAAAAGCAGTTCTTGCTGTAGGAAAGCAGATCATGGGTTATGCTGTCTTCAAATTACGTGTTTCAGAGATATTAGAAAATACAATATGCACCTGTAAGTACAGTGTGTTTGTTGGAAGCTGGCGGCAATGAAAACCATTTCTTTAGTAAAAAGAAAAGATCTCATAACCTGATATCTCTTTTCTGGTCCATACATAGGTGATTCAAGCTCATTTCAGGATTACAATCTATTATTTTTTACAAATACAAAACATTTTGCTCCACATGAACACAAGAAGAAGAGCTAACTCCTGCCTTAGGAAATGTACCTTATAATTGTGTCTGGAAGCAGCACTGCTCACCAGGAGAGCAGGGCAGTTGTGACTTTACAACATTTTCAGTAGCTGTATTGACAGGTTGAAAGTTTCTGTGCTGATGCTGGTCTCTGCCTCAGTGCATGGAAAAAGTACTTTCCAAACTGTGAGCTGTTTGCAACTGAAAACCATTTTCTTTTTCTCTAAATATTTCTACTGATATCTAATCTATTACTTCTGTGGAAAACCCACAGCAATTCAGGCAGGTTACAAGCAATGGCTGAAAATTCTTCAGCAGATGGTGAGCCAAATCTCCTTTTAACCACTGGTCAGTGGAGGATCCCCAGCACTGTACCATGGTTGGGTGGCACAGTGCAGTGTGATGGTCCCACTTGCCAACAGCCTCTGCCAGAAATCACCATCTGTAGCTACATCCTGATGTCACTTGGGAAGTCCATTCTGTAGCCACATATTTGATACCTCACCCTACAGCGACAAAAACCATCATCAGTCTGAGATTGCTCCAAGACAGAGTGCATGGTTGAAAAATAAGGAAGAAATCCTTTCCTGTGAGGTTTGTGACACAGGGGCATGGGTTGCCCAGAGAAGGTGTGGATGCCCCATCCCTGAAAGTGTTAAAGGAGGTTGGATGTGACTTTGAGCCACCTGGGATAGTGGAAGGTGTCATTGCTCAGAGCAGGGGAACTGGAAGTGCAGTCAGACCTGTGGGCAGTCTGGGGACAAGTTTGGGGTTCCAGATCCAGCCCTCATCAATGGAGAGGGGTACTGCAATTGGAGCACCAGTGACACATCTTCATTCTCTGCACTGACTCAGGGCTAAATGGGCTGCAGAAAGCAAAATGTAATCACACTGTTTAATTAAAAGATAATGGAAGCTTTCCAGCCACATCGTTACAGCCCATGCAGAGACAAAATTCCCTGTTCTCCTAGAGGGATAAAATAAAATGCACTGTCACGCTGGGGATCAAGCTGATCTGAGCTTCGTATTCCTCATCTGCTGTACTCTTAATTCTCATTGCTTTTAATTGACTGCAGATTTTCCTTGGTTTTGCAAATTCAGTTTTGAAGCAGATTCTTTGTGTTCTGTATGGAACAGGCTGTAGGGTGTATGAGCAGGGCTGGTGGGGGGCTTTGCACTGCTGGTAAGTAATGATGTTTTCTCTGCAGCAGGAGCCAGGGTCAAGTGAGATGCTCAGTACAGTGCTTACTGATGAGCAAGGAGTGGGAGGAAGCAGCATATTTCCAGCCATAAAACAGGGGGACATGAAGAAGTTACAGGCAGCGTTGGCAGCACAGAGCTCATTAGCATTGCATTGCAGATGCAGCAGCCCTGCTGGAAATCCAGAGGGGAAGAGCTGGGAAGGAACAGAACTGGCAGCTGCCAGAGGTGATGGAGGGCAGCCACACCCATGATTCTCATGAGTGTCACAACACAAAATGGGGACAAAATCATCCTTCTCATGGGTGGCGCTGAGTCCTCTGCCTAATGTGTTCATCTGGGCACCAAACTGACAGCAAAGAGAAGGGGCCATGAGTCAAACCTCTGGGGACACGATGAAAGACCTCAAAACCCACAGAGATTTGGGCTCTCACAGCAGGAGGGATCCCAGCATGTACTCCAGCCACTGGGCTGAAGTTCTCTTTTGGGATATAAGTAGGTTTTTAGGTCTTCTTCTAAATGACTTGCTTGCAAAGTTAAAGGAAATCTGAGAAATGGGAACTGGAACCAGATTTTAGCTTCATATTTTACTGTTCTCTTTCTCTTTTCTTTTGTTGGGATGTTTGCTGAGATGCTGGGTTTTCTCTTTCTGAAAACATATATTTGGAGGAAGAGCCAAGGACACCGCAGATTGATTTTCTGAGCTTTGCTCAGACTCCATAATACAAGTGGCAATTTAGTAGGATAAGCTCATTCCTTTTTTCACTTTTATGGATTTCATTAAGAAGCATGAACAGGCAAGAATTCCTCTAAGCAATCATATTACCAGCCTAATTTGCTAGACTTTCATTAAAACAATTAAAGATAGAATGATGCAGTGACCCAGTTCAGGACCCAATTAAGACTGAATCAATAAATCAGTAGGTTTAAATCACCACCATAAGGCCACAGACAATCAAAACAAGTTATGAGGCTGAAGCTGAACAGAATGACTGCATTACATTGCCATGGGAGAATTTAAAGAATTAAACACTTTGCAGTTGAGGTGCTCTGCTCATATTGCTGCAACCAGCTTAGTGACAATGGGCACAACCTGGTACAGTCCATCAGTTGCTGGGGCCATGGCCTGAGTGCACAGCACAACAGCCCTGCCAGGCCATCCATGGCTGTAGGTATCCCTGGACAAGGAGACTTCCAGGAACAGGTGCCAGGACCCTGTCCATCTGTCCAGCCACATTTGGTGCTAAATCATCTCATCAGTCTGTCACCACCTTTTCTGCACAGGGGAGTGAAGCCCCCAAGGTGTCCTGCTAACAAACCCATCTTAACCACAGCTGTTGGCTCTTTCCTGAAGGTCTCTGGTGTTCTTCCAGAGGAATTGCTGGACAGTTGGTTCTTTCCATGGATTTAATGGGAACCATCAATAAACTCAAGCACGTGGTGCCCTCTGCACACTGCAAATACTTAGAGAGGGAAGAAGTTCCTCAGTTCAAGCCTCCGAGGTGACTGTCGGTGGACTCAGCAGTGAACTTAATGTTTGGTGGCAACAAAGCTGCTTGTTGTCTTCAGAGTTCAGCCCTAGATTGATCATAGATGAATTCCCTCTTTAGATACTGTGACCAAAAAGTAATTGAAATTAATTTACATGGTAAAAGCCTATCATTTGAGTACTGACAAAGCACAGCAGAATAGTAACAAACCTTCAATTAACGTCATGTTTCCCTCTGCTTTAGTTTCCCTCTGCTTTAGTTTGATAGAGACACTGTAATAATAGAATAGAATAGAATAGAATAGAATAGAATATATATTGCATTCTATTGTATTGTATTACCATATATTATAACTCCAAGTATGTGTCCAAACACTGTGTTCTATTTGTTGAGAACAGCAGTTCATCTATCAACTCCCACTGAAGGTCACTAGGGGCTCACCATAACAATAATTTTGGTTTTTCCATGTAGTGGAACAGGGCCCTGATTCACTTAGGTGTTACACTGAGCTGTGTTGGGTCAATGACTGGGAGGGAAAGTTGCATTTCGGATGCTACTTTGAGCAAATGCAAACTTGAAGATGTGATATGTGATTCCTAATGTGGTTGGTACCTGCCCAGCTGGCCTGTAACAAAAAGAAGCATTAGTTTGAGATTTATTATGCATTTCTGGTCACTGTTAGACTGCAAGCTGAGGCACAGATGTGAGCACAGCTCTTTCTTCTGCCCTAAAGAAAGAAAATGAAAAACATACAAGAGTCTATATGGCGCCAAAGAAAGCACAAAGTTCGTGAGCTTGATGGGAACAACAAATTGCCTCTCAGTTCTATTATTATTAATTTCCCTAAACAAAACACTTTCATGAAGAAGGTAAATGAATCATTAATTGACCGTAACTTTATCAGAATATTGAAATTATAAAAAGAAAAACTCCAAAGATTAAAAAAGCAAAGAAACTCTTGAAATCAGGATATGCAAACAAAGTTTGGAAGGCAGGAATTTATCCCAACGTAATCCAGAAAGCCCAAACAATCTGGAAATACTCAATTGAATACTTGCAGTGATGTCCATCCTATCCAGATGGTCCTTCTTGCCCACCCCCACAGAAATAAAAAATGGTTATCATCACAATAATTCAGCATGGTTGAGAGGGCCCACCAAACTCAGATGTGCTAGGGAGGGCAGGGCTCACACCCATGGTGACGTAGGTGAATTTTCTCCCTGAGGGGTGTCCAGAGCTGGGAGGAAACATAAAATGGTGGGAAGAGTGCATCCTTTTATCCCTGTGCCAGCTTAGAGTGTCCTGGGATTGCTTTTGGGCAGTGCAGGCCCCTGTTGCCTCCCCATGGAAAGCTGCCCAGAGGGATCCTCACAAGACCAGGATGGTTTAGTGGATTCACAGAGCTGGGAAGGTTTGGCCTGAAGGAAGAGATTCAATGTAGGCATGATCACAGAGGGCAGGACTGTTCACAGTGCACAAGCACTGATTTGAAAGCTCTGTGCAGAATGTACCTTCCTCAGCACCACCTGCTCCTGGAGCACAGGGGTCTATCCCTGCTCGGCCTTGATGGTTCTCAAAGTTGTGCATCTGCACTTTCTCTGCTTCAAAAGGTATCACTCATTCAAAACTCCTCTTGGCTGTGCAAGAAGAGCTGCCACAGCCCACTGGAGCCCTGGCTCTGGGAAAGGACAGTTCTGGAGAGCAGGAGTGAGAAATGGTGCTGGTGTAGCACCAAGAAATGCTGGTGTGTGGCACAGGCCAGGCCTCAGTGCATACCCACACTCTGAAAGCCTTCAAAGTAAGGACAGTCCCCTTCCCTGCAGTGCAAACATGGCTGTGGATTTTGGCAAGGTTGCAAGCAAAATATTTTCTACAGTTGCATCTTGGTCTTGTCCCTCTGGCTTCTCTGTACTGATGTTTTATCTCCCTTGTTGCAAACAGCCAAGAATTTGTGGCTGAGCACATAGCAGTGAAGAAAATATACAAAGATGAAGTGAATATTGACATGACATCATCAGGATGTCATGCATAAGGACTTCAGTGGTCATGGGGTGGCCTTCTGCCCAGTCTCTCTGGGAGCTTGGAAGAGCCTGGTGGGCTCAGAGTGACCACTGAATCTATGGAGGAACCCATGGCTTTAAAACCAAAACACGAAAAAGTTTTCCTGGCTGAGATTTTAATTCCATGGTGAAATGTGGGATAGATCTTTATCTACTGGAAGTGCCAAATGTGAGCTAAATCCAGCTAATTTACACACAGGTGGGGATGAGGTCCTCAGTGTGAAAGGAATGTCAGAGTTCAGACTTATGTCACATGGGAAAATTGCACAGTCTTCCTACAGGATCTGCTGCTCCTCCTGACACTGCAAATCACGTGCTTGTGCCTCAGTGTCACACACCACCTCCAACAAACTTCCAGGCAGCAGTTTTGTACATGGATGTACTTTTCCAAAGGTCTGTCTTGCCATGGATGTGCTTTTTCCAGAGCACAAATTGGAGGGTATCTCACCTGTCCGGGTACAACCCACAATCAAAATAATTCTGAGAACACAGCTGCTCACCACAGCTTTCAAATACGTATATGTTGGTTCATGCACAAAATAAAAGCTTTATAAGTAATTTGCCTTTCTCTTTATATTGCTGTGAGCTGGCCATCATCACTGCTGTTTGTTTCAGCTCTGTTACTGAACCAGGTGTCTAAGATTACCTAGCCCTAGCCTCAAGCACAGGCCCACCTCCCTGCTGGGCATACTGGTTTTGCCACCTATTTTAAGGGGGGAGGAATTCTTGTGTGCCAGTGAGTGAAAACCAGAAGATAAGAAACAACAGTGGAGAAAAACAGCAGGAAAAAATGAAAAGCAAGTCATAAGACATCCCAGGAAGAAAATTCAGCCAATGATGGAGCACACTCAGCACTCTTTGGAGAGCGTGGCTGACTGCAAGGGGACTCAGAAATTCTCACTGATGAAAATCCTGTTTCCTTTGATGATTCCCACCACAGGGTGTGTAAGTCACTAGGACAAACTCAAACATGCAGCAGTCTCCACCAAGTACGTGTCCTTTCCCCAGCCCCACAGAGATATTCTCAGTTCCCAGGAGACAGCCATGTCTCCATATGTTGATATTCAACACCATTTCCATCGACAGCTTTAGGAAAAATCCAAAGGACAAATCATCCTTTTTATTCATTTCCCTATGGAGTGAACTGGGGAGAAAGAAAATCTTATTATTCTTCTTTGGAACATAAAGGAACATCATTGCATAAAACACAGCAGGGCAGTGGAGCAGCCACAGAAATTATTCACTCCCTTTCTTGCACGTGTGTGGAGACTCATGCATTCAAAATCACCAGACTTCACATCAGGCTGATTTAATTGGATTTATTGGAGGAAAACAATTAGTCATCCCTTTAAATTGTCATTATGATAGAAATCTTGATATGTATACATGATTGTCAAGGCAGAGAACCACTTGCGATGTAGCCCCATGAACAATTTGCAGAACTGCAAACTCATTACAGATAAAACTTTTGCAATGCCTTAATACATGCATGGAGTAAATACACATTCTCCCTTCTTTTTGGACATGGATGCTGTTATGAACTTGTTATCAATCACAAGACCTGCAATATTAGGCACACTGACATTCCTTGATTAAGATTAAAGCCTTTGTAGAAAACATGCTTGCATTTTCATTAGAAGTCAACTGAGGGATGTTTTGCAGTTGGGGATATTTGGGGAGTCACTATTCTGGGCAGACTAGGCTCTTTTTTCCCACTGTTTTCTGGCTCAAATAAAATACCTATCTAAAAAAAGGCCCAAATGGGCCAAAATATTGTTTCTCAACTAGAGGTCAATGTACACCAGGTCACTGATGTTGTGTTGACCAAAACATGAGACACACCAACTGAGCTGCAACCTTCCACCCTCTTCACTTCGGGGGTCATGACTGATCTAATGAGACTCAGCATGTGTGATGCCATGCTGGGCTCAGGGGATGCAAGATGAGAGATGGAAAAGCTCAGAGCTGCTCCAAGCACCCCCCCCGGAGCTCCCACCCACCAGGACCCACAGCACACATCAAACCTCCTCAAGGAGCCTCACACCAGGTGCTGCCTCAGCAATCTGAACCCAGGTTGGTTTACAGCTGTAACTGATGGTTTGTTTTGTTGCCACACAGTGATTTGGCAATGGCACAGCCCTGGCTGAGCACCAGCCTTGAAGGGGGGCTCAAGACTTCTCAGTGATTTTGGCCACCATGGAGAATAATTTCCAAGGATGGTGCTTGCTGCCCAGGCCTGCTGCTTGGCATGCCCTTGCCAGGAACATAGAGCAATTCCCAATCCTTTCAGATGACTCTGCTTTGAGTGTTGGGAACTCAAGGATTTTCCACACAGCAGCCACTCAGGAGCTGGGACCACAGCCCTGGTGATGCCCCTAAGAGGTTTGGGCTCGAGCAATCCTGTATCCTGCCTTGGAAAGACCAGCACAGATGAAAATGGGTCAATGACTAAGGGAAGAGAAGGCAAGGGCATGGTTTTCATGTGGAAGAAGGGAAGTACCACACCAAACTCTTCCATGGATGAATGGGATTATTTGGAGGTCAAGGATTAAATGGTAGTATTTAGGTGGTGATGCTTTGGAAAGGATGGGATAGTTTAGCTCAGCTCTCTGCCCTATTTTGTGCAGGCAAAGAATCACAGCATTTTGGTCCCCAAAATGCAGTTCATTCTGCAACAGGTGAGAAAGAACTATCTTGCAGGCAGAGGAAAACACTAAGAATTGAGTGAACCAATCTGAATTTTTGCTAGGAAAAACAAACCAAAAGGAAAAAAGAAAAAAAATACAAAGAGACACACCAACATGTTTCTTGGCAGCTCTGAGAGTTAGTGACCCGGGGAAGGAATTTTTGATGCAGATCAAATTTGTAAGTGTTGTATTAAAAAAGGGATTCTCACCTCCCCAGCTCCCTGCTTCTACACCTGTGTATGTGACTGCTGCCTAATTTTAAGCTGCTCTGGATGGTGACTCTTCCTGTACATGCTGCACAGAACTCAACAGAAAGACAAAATACATTGCCAGGCTTTGCAGAATATCTTGTTTACAAAACATCAGCTTTTGCATTTACTTAAACTTAACAATGGATTTCAAGTTACAGATACATTGAGTCATTTAAAAGCAATACATGGAGGTAACTCCCTCAGACAGAAGGTTGGGTTGATGTGGGTAAAGAAAAGGCTCAGGAAATACAGAACCAGTGACCAGCAGTTTAATACATGCAGTGCAGTATCATGCATTTATTGGACAGTTGATGCCACCATTGGTTCAGCAGTGTTTGTCACAACGCTTGGGAGCACACATGCCCTGATTCCACTCTGAGGATGGAAAAACCTGTAAGAGCCATTCCACTGACCTTAGCATTTATGAAGGGGGGGGGGGAAGCTACCTGGACAGATAAGTGGCACTATTTGTGGTGGGGAAAGGGGATTTGAAATCCATAGTCCAGGCTAGAGAGCCTCTATCCTCTGCTACACACACTATTTACACAGCTTTGACCCAACCACACAAAGTCAGACCAAAAAACCTGGACCAACTCCTGATGACCCACTGGAGGGATCTGTGATCCCTGGGGCCACAATGTGCACGAGCACCCACAAAAACACACGTGTGTCACAGGGAGCAGAGCACCCCACAGGCTGGGAAGGCAGGACCCTGCTGCAGGGATGGGAGGGAAAACAAAAGGGATTGGGTAAAACTTGCTGCTGGGCATGAAATATGGGATGGCTGGTTTACCAGGTGAAATAAGAGTTCATGCAGTGTTTGTGAGCAGGTTGCTGTTCCCTCACTCAGCCATTGCTGACAGTGATTTGTGTAATCCTCCACTCTTGGTGTTGATGCTGTTTTCCTTGGATACCACAGTCTCCGTGTGTGTTTCTGCTTTTTGCTTGAATGAGTGTTGGAGTTTCTGGAGCAAATAAGCACAATAAGGAAGGCAAAACTTCCTTCCCATTAATAATTTCTGGGATGCATTCACCCCCCCATCCAGACAGGTAAATATTCATGGCAGCAAGAACAGGAATAATTGCATCAAATAAGAATTTCCATATGCTGAATGGAAGCTACTTCTGTACCTTGGGGCTCAGCCTAGAAACTTATTTTGCCAGCAGATGAATTCCCTGATTCTTTGGAAAGAGCAAAATTAACAGGCCATAGCCTGCATGATCTTGCTGGCAAAGTTAATCTGGTGTTTTTATCTGGTGCTCATTCAGTGCTGTTCAGGGCTGGAGCTGTTATCACAGGAGGAAGTAATAGCACAGGTTTCCCTAGAGCTGATCTTGTTAATGCCAAGTTCACATCAAAGGGCAATATCCTCTCTGCTTGCCAATGGCTGAAAGCTATCTGGCTTTCTCTACAGGTTTGCTTCCCTAAAAATAGGAAGGGGACAGCCTTGGGGCCAGCTGCAACTGCATTTCATGGGCACCCTGGAGGCCCATGTTCTGGTTTGCAGAGGGTTAGGGGAGAAAAGCCTGAGATCAGGGGTTATGCTGGCCCTGGGACAGAAAAAAACCTTAGGACTAGACCTGAATTTCATCAGAACCAGGCAGGGACCCAAAATAACTGGTAATTAAAAAAAATACTGTCAATAGCCATGGAGGGATGCAGGACACATGCACAGCAGAAACCCCTATTCATTGCCTACAGCAGAACTTCATGGAGATGTCTATCAGTGGGATCACACTCCTTTTTTTGTGGTTTGATTCGTGTCAGGAATGAACCAGATTTCTTGGTTTTATTTCAGCACCACAACCATAACACACACACACACAGGGCATAGGTAAAATATAGGTAAAATCCTACTTTTTTTGCCTTTTTTTTTTTTTTTTTGTACCCACTACTCTAATGGCACCTGTACAACAGCAACCAGGACAGAGGAGAGAGCAGCAGCAGCAGAGTGACACAGAGTGACACAGTCCCAGGGTCCCAGGAAAGCAACACTGCCAGGTTTTCCCCACGCTCCTACTTCCCCACCAGCCGTGTTGCAGGGCCAAAATCCATTTTGTGCTGCAGAAGGGGTGATCCAGCAGAGAGTTAGGATGCACTGGGAATGGAGTCACATGCAAAATCATCAGCAGAAGCCCTTGCCACTGCAATACTGACTTTCAGCTCGCAGAGTTCATGGGCAGCCTGTCCTCACAACTTCTTCTGCAGGCTAAGGGGCCAGCTGGAGCTTTTCTGGATTTTTTTGTTTGTTTGTTTTGTTTTCCCAGCAAGAGCACTGCTGTTGGCATCAGAGATGGCCTCTGTGACTCTGGAGGTAAAAATCAACAATCAAAGCTGCAAGCAAAGAAAAAGAAGGGGAAGGAGCTGAGGAAAACAAGTTACAAAGGAAAAACCCATCGGTACCAGTAAAGTAAAGCAGAAAAGGGTAACAAACAGTCCAGGCTGAAGTCCTCATGCAAGCAGCAAATCACAGATTGTTTAGCAGGACAGTTCATTGGAAAAGAGCCCAGAGTGATTTTTTACCTTGTCCTTCATGGCAAGGCCAGCTGAGGTTTTATTATATTTGAAGCTTCTGCTGTGGGGCTATTCAGCCTTTTCCCCATGCCCACATTATTTTCTCTACCTTTGCATTCTCCTGTGACAGTGACTGAGCAGAAGCAGGCTGGGGCAGGGGAAGGACATGCAAAAGCACTGGAGCATCCCTGGTGAGCAAGGCTGGAGCATTTGCCCTAACAGGCTGTGCTGCCAAGGGCCAAATGTCTCCAGCCCTGCTCCATAAATGTGGCCTGGGTACTGCCCAGTCCCCCCTGTTAACACATTTACCCAGATTTAGACTAAGTGTTAACCATGTGATGCTTCAGGAGAGATCTCTAAGCATTTGGTGAACCTGGGTCAGGTCTCCAGCTGTGTTTCACTGATACCAAAGAAGAGCTCCCCACCACCAAAACTGTAGCAGAAAGAAACAATTTTGCTCATAAGTGCTTCTGTTTCTTATCTTATGATCCCAGCAGTTGATAGCAAGCCAAAGAGAATGATGACAAATTACACAACCAAGGCAGATTATTACTTGCAGAAACAAAACCAAATCACACTAATTCCAACAATGGAAGGAAAGAATACCCCTCCCAACAAAACAACCACAGACAGCACCCAGCAAGGAGGGGCAGCCAGCACAAGGGATCCCCCTCTGCAGGACAGCATGTCTGCCTCTGCTCCTGTCACTGCTCTTTGCTTTGGAGATGGAAATCCACTTGCTTTTCTTTTCTCTGCAAAATGCATTTGGATGCTGTATTTTGATCAGTGGCCACGGCAAGTCCTGAGGTCAAGTTCAAACCAGACCTCGGGTTTCAGAAGAGGAGACGCAGAGGGAACATTTGAGCCCTAACCTTTAAAACTGCTCTACAGAGACAAAACTATTCCCTAACTAAATCCTGCTTTTGGTTGCAGTGTGTCAATGCGGGGAACTCCACTGATGCCAGACTGGGAGACTGTCTATATTCTGCCTGCAACTGGAGCAGAATGGGGCCAGCCATGCTTATGAAGTCAGGGGGGTTCAAAATACCTTGAATTTCTTGGGGTTGGAGTCTCTCAAAACTAAAACTTCCTTACTCAGGCTGGTAAAATAAAGTGGCCTTAGACTGAGTTTAAATTGTATTCTACTTGTGTTTTCATGCTTTTGCAGCAAGACATAAAGAGCTCAGATGTAAATGCCAATAAAAAGTGTATGGTGGCAATGGCCAGGGTGTGGAGACAGGAGTGTGACTTGCAGCAAGGAGATCCCCTGGCCTTCAGTCTGCCCAAATCTTGGTCAGAAGACTTCACTGTGGAAATTTTGTGTTTTGCTGTAAGCCCCCAACAGTTCAGTATCTGCTCTCTCTCCTAAAATGAGAAATTGAAGTTGCAGCCTTTCCTGTGTGAGCCCCCATGGCAGGTTCAGCACACTGGGGTGCACAGGATGCAGAGGGCTCACTCAGGTGTGCCACAGCCCTCTGAAAACAGGGAGCCACTTACCACAGAGGAAACTAGAGAAACTTGGTGCAACAGCTCCAAGTGCCACTGAAGGAGTGGCTATTTCAAACAGAGTCACTATCATCTATTTTCCAGCATTTTTTTCCTCAAGTTTTTTTTTTTTTTTGTATAATGGATGGAATCCCAGCTCTGTCATGTGAAGCCAACCAACCAAAGCTGGAGCAGGATATAGAAGTCTCACGAAAAATACCCATCTAATGGCTTTTCCCAGCACTAGCACTATTGCCTGACACATTCAGCTCTGTCTGTGACTGGCTTTCTCAATTTCTTGTGCAGGATAAGTGAGGCAAGTGTGGTGACAGAGCACGCTGCAGGGAATTATGCCTTGGCAGGGATGGACCTGTCTGGCATGTGAGGGGCTCAGAGTTCCCAGTGAAGGGCATTTGCCTTTGCCACTGCCTCCCCTCACCTCCTCAAAGCAAAATCAGATGGGAATTTTTTTGAGGTAACCTGGAGGAAGCCTTTCAGCAATTGGGCAAATTTTCTCTCCTCTCTGTTTCAAGCTGCTTTAATGCACAGCAGCACAGCAGTTGTAGAGGCTGTTCCTGAAAGATGCACCAGCACAAAGAGCCTGGGAAGTGCATGCATTCAGTAATTAAAAAATGGGTAAATTTGGCTTGCTTTGGTGTATGAGCTTCTGGGCAGGAGGGAGAGCCAGTGCCCCCACTGCTGCCAGCTGTGCCTGTGTCTTTCAGTGAGGTCCTGCTTCCCCAGCCCAGCACTCTGTGTCAATCCTCATCCTGACCATGATCAAATCCTACACCATATCCTGCACTTTACACCACAGAACCTGAGAGTCTTTACAGAGGGCTTCAAGCACCCCTCCTCTCCCCACTTTTGGCTACTGTGGAAGGTGCTGAGCAACATTTCTCCATTTCTGGGAGGTGCTGAGCATCAGCAATGCCAGGCAAAGCCCCAAGGAGCTGTGGGTGCTGGGAGTCTCTCTCATGAAGCCCTTGGCTGGATGCACCCCATGCCGGAGGCCACACTGTGGGGAGGCTGGTGAATTAAATGTCTTGCTTGAGCAAATCAGTAGCAGGGGATGATGATTCCCACCAGTGTATCTTCCTTTTCTCTCCCTCTGCCCACAGCACACAGTGACTGGAAGGAGATGGGAGCTGCAGGATGAGACCATGCTCTGTCATTTCCCTTGCACAGCTCTGGTCAGCTCCTGCCTGACTCCCTGTACCTGCCTCTCCTCTGATCCCCAGCATGCAGGAATGAGGCCAAGGATGAGCTGACTCCCAGCTGGTGGCAATTTAATTCTCCCCATGGCTTTCAAGGAGGAGGATGGAGAGGAAAGCAGCAGTTTCTTAATCTGAGCAGTAACAGCTCTGCTAAAGCCAGACAGACTTGCAGTCCTATTTGAGGAGCAAGAAATGGCATGCCATTGAAATCCTCCCATGTTGCAAAGTTAATGCCAATTCCTACCTACAGAAATAGCCTATCCCCCAGCAAACTGGAAGAGGGACATTACTTGAAGTAATTTTTAAAAGAAAAAAAATATGCTCAGGAAAGTATTTCTATTTAAATAATCCAGTTGAGATGTTTGTAGTTAATGGAAAAAAATTACAACATATACTGTTACCTACACTGAGAAAAGAGTAAATCACTGGGGGAAAGAATGAGTGTTCATTAGTCAGAACATTGCTAGACTCACATACATATATATATTTATATATATGTATATATATATATGTATATATATATGTACAGCACCAGAGACTGTTAGATTCTGTTCCTCCTGGAGTCGTTGCAGTTTGTGATAAATGAAACATTTCAGAATTGCAGTATAAAATATGGCCATAAAAAAATCTTCTTTCTTCTAGTCCTTGGCCGAGCAGGGCAGGTGGTGCCAAGGCCACTGCCAGCCCTGCCTGCTGCTCACTTGCTGCCGGTGTGCACCGTGGTCACTGTGGTGGCTCTGGGTCTCCGCTCCCCTCCCACTGCAGAAACGCCTGAAGAAGCAGATGAAACAAAACTACAGAGAGTGGATGGAGACATACCTAAAAGGAAAGCCAGAAAGACAGTTAGAAATGTTATTTTTTGGAGGTGGAAGCTTGGGCGAAGAAGCTGAGTTGGTTTCGTAGCGCACTACGGAGCGGAGAGGATTGCAGTAGGAGCAGGGGCTGCTGGAGAGGATTGCAGCAGGAGCAGGGGCTGCTGGAGAGGACTGGAGCTGGAGAAGGGGCTGCTGGAGAGGATTGCAGCTGGAGAAGGGGCTGCTGCTCTTCCTGCTGTGGTGGGTTGGCTGGGTACCTCCACAGGGCATCTTCTGCCCGTGGTCATTCGCCTACTGCCACCATCTCAACAGGGACTCAAAGCCCAGTTTTGGTTCAGCCACATTGATGTCACAGTTCCAGGGCTGAAGACAAAGAGTTGTGGGGTTCAAAAATCCGTCCAGCATTGTACTTGTTCAGAATAATTTCCTCTTGGGCATGTTAAAGATGATTAAATGTCTCATCATGGCCATCTAGCTAAATGAACAGACAGTGCACCTGGGCTAAGCACAGTTCCCTGGGCATCCTGGGAAGCTGCTGATGAAGAAGTACAGTGGGTCAAATTCATTGCTGAGTTGCAGTAAATCTACAGAGAATGTAAATTTGTGTGACTTGGACATCACTCTAGTGACAGCTCACATTGCTCCAGGCTTTGCTGGGATGTCTGCAGGGCTTCCAGCTGAGATGTAGGTTGATGTGAGGTTGAGCATCTCTTGAGTACCAGGATTCTGGTGCAACAAAAGCTGTTAAGTGGGGACCTGGCATGGTCACCTTGCTCTGATAAGATGCAGGCTCAGAGTGATCAGAAATACAGTTCATTTTTCCAGAGTGGTGAATAAAGGATCAATGAAACCTATATTAATATATCCTCAAACCAAAGTTTGGCCTTTTGACTCTTCAAGACCTTTTTGATACTTGTTGGGACTTTTAACTACTTTTCAATGCTTCAGTGTGGCATTTCAATCTCAAGGAGGATTATGCTGTACCTATATTCGGCCACATTCCATTTCCCATTGACATTTCACCACCTGGCATCACATTGCAATTTATCTAGTACATTAAAAATACAGAGCTCTAGGACCTATAAATAATCTAGGCAGTCCAATCATGACTAAATTGAATAAACAAGCCATGGACTGAGAATCAGGCCAATACACTTGAGAAATCCTGGCTGATTCTCTTAGGAATCCTTTCCTGTTTCCTGACAGGTGGCATTATCCAGCCTAATGCCAGATCTCTGCTCTGCCCTACTACAGAGGGTTTGGATGCAGCCTGACATAACCTACTGTCAGGCAAAGGTTGTACTTTCACATCACTGTCTTCAGTGATGAGAAATTGCTGCATTAAAAAGTATTTGGAGAGTTGAAAAAGTGTCTGTTAATAGCACCAGGCAGCATTCTGTTGTATAATGGTGGCACAGCTGGATCATGGAACTTGCTGCATGGGATCTTTCTTGTGCAAGGAGTCTGTACCCAGAGAAAACTGCTGAGAAATAAAGAGGTAGGAGAGAGACCTCAGACTTCTTTTTTCCTATCAGGAGGTACTGGGTGGAATGTATTTGATATATCAGCTCCTTCTTTACTCCTTGCATTTGCTGTTGGGTCTCCTCATTGGTTCTCTGGGGCTCCAGCATCTCCTAACTCTTTAAATTATTTATTTGAAGAAGAAAAGCTCTTCTGCATTGTCTGCCAAGCTGGACTTTAACTGGGATGCTTGGAAATCTTCCAAATTTTTCTGCCTTGTGTTTCTGGCATGTAAAAACTCATCCTATCTTTACACATCTGGTTTAATCCTTCATGTCCTGGTTGGCTTCACCACTGCAAAATACGGTTGGATTCTGCACAGGACTCTGTAGTCATGAAACAGATTTCTTTCTCTTCCCATCCTTTCTGTTCACACGTTTTAACACTTTTCAGACTACTGATTGCCATTAATTAACACCATATGAGATTAATCAAATGGATGGATGGAGATTAATCACTCACCAGTTTAACTGCATTAATCACCCACCAGTTTAGCAGCAAAGCATTCATCAGATGCTCTAGACTTGACTGGGGTCCAGCTTTGCCAAACTGCAACAGGAACCAAAACCAGGGGATGTTTCTCCCACACAGGGGGTTTTCTGCATGGCTGCATGGCCAGTGCATGGCTGGGAGAGTTTTGTGGATGGTCAGCATCATTCTTTTGCAGATGCCAGGTATGTGCCAGGGGCACAGTGATGGTTTTTTGGCAGCAGCTGTAGGATTTGGTGCTGGGCATCACAAAGCATGAATCCCCCCCAGGCCCACTATCCAGAGAGAAGGGGCTCTCCCCTGGCTCAGCCACAGCACAGGCTGAAAAAATATCTCACAGGGTACCCAGAAGGCAGAACCCACTGCAGTTGTGGGGGAAACAGCACCCATGGCAGCAAGAGGAAACAGCTTCCACACAGAGCCACCAGGACTGTGGCTGGTGGAATGTCCTCCTCAAGGAGCAGGGGGTGGCAAGCAGGGGTGGCAGAAGCAGAGAGCAGCATTATCCAAAATCTATCCTGAGCAATAGGTGCTTTCAGCTCCAGGATAGTGCAAGGCACAGTCTAGAAACAACTACTTCAGTCCACAGCAAAGCATTCCTTTTCAGTGTTGCACTTTAAGGTAACCCCCCCAGCTGTAAAGTCCACATCCCTCCATTTCATGATGTAAAATATCTACAGACGGACAGGAGAGAAAAGAAGAAATGCTCAGAAGCCAGAGAACAAACAGGCTTCATTGCAAAGGATGTATTTCTGTCTTCCAAATAATCCCTTTGCTGCCACGTCCCCTTCCCTAGCATTCACAAAAAATATATATCCCAAACATCTGAGTCCAGTGGGCAGCTTGCAAATATCAATTACAGCACGAAACAAACATGGCAGAGGGCCAAGTCCCACAGTGGTGCACAGAGTCTGAATCCTGCTCAGACAAATGAACCTCTTTGTGCAGGAGCTTAACTTGGACCCAGCTTCTTAAGAGAGAAGCTGGGTCTGACTGGCAGGATCAGTCTTCTCCATGGAAATGGAAAGTAAGGCAATTTTTACAGAAAAATGCCCTATCATAATACTGTAAACTCAAACATAAAATAATTTGAGTAAACTTTTTCAAATTTCAACCAAATACAAAACTTTGTAGTTGCTGTGGGGGTCTGGGTCTTTTTCCCAAGCAAAAGCCCTTTTTCTCCACAAGAAACTGTGATTTTCTTCCAAAAATCACCGCGCTACATCTTTTTTTTTTTTTTAGAAATTGCAACACAATATTTCTGGCCAGCCAAAAACTGATGGCGTGTTTCAAATCCTTATTTTAACCACCTGCTTGCACAAAGCCAAACCTATGGGCAGCGAGGACTGCAGCCTGGGGGTCGGGGGGAAAACGGGGATCCCGTGGATTTTCTGGGTTTTCCCAGGATGTTGGCTACTCACAATCTTTGCGCGTGGCCGTGTCGGGGAGCGGCGTGGCCAGGCTGAGGGTGCTGGAGACGCTGGCGCTGGCGCTGTCCAGGCTGCTGCCCAGGTGCAGCCGCCGCATGTGCCGCACCACCGCCGTGGCGTTGAACGCTTGCTGCAAAAACGTGGCAAGAAAGAAATGGAGAATGAAAAAAAATGGAGGCGAAAGGGTTGCTCGTGATCCTCTCCTGGCTGCTCAGAGTGTCAGAATGGGAATAAGCCTGTTATCTTTCAAATTTTTCACGGATTTTTAACTGGGAAGTGCGTTATCAAACCTTTGTGGATGCAACAGCCTACATGTGTCAGAACCCAGGAAATTCCTCTGGCTGCCCTGGAGTGCTCAAGCCCATGCCCAGGGGGCTCAGAGACCTTGGCACAGAGCCCAAGACCCCTGTGCCTCTGATTTAGCCCTTGGAAAAAACAATGTCCAACCTTCATATGAAGAATTACAAGTCAAGAGGGTTTAAGTAAAATAATAGTTTATCACAAGGTGAAAAATAAACAGATTTTTGGGGTTTTTAGAATGGGGCTCAGGGTCACAAGATGGAGGAATTTGGGTGTGTCCAGTCTTTCTCCTTCTTCTTCTTGGCCTCCGTCTTCTGGGTGGTGTTGGCATTTTTAGACTGGTTTAGAGTAAAAGCTCACTGTCTAACATAGGTGATAGGTATTGGGAAGTTATGGTAAATAATGTACACGAACTTTTTAGTATAAAAAGACAACACTACCTCTGAGGCGGGCAGTGTGCCTCAACCCAACCTGCCAGACAGACCTCAGCAGGCCAGAGAAAGAATGTTACAGATAAGAAATAATAAACAACCTTGAGAACAAGAACAGAAAAATCCTGATTCCTTCTTCGACTGCCAGGCTGGGAAAAGAGGCCTGTACGTATCTCAGAGTCACTCTGACAAGCATAGATTCTGAGATACAAGAAAGCCCTATTTGACAAACCCATTCCTGCCCCAACACACATTTCTTTGTGTCCCTGCATGGTGCTGACCCCACTCCACCAAAAACCCGGGGTGCTTTAGCTATGAGCAACCCTGGCCCCATTTCTCACACTTTTTACATTTGGTACTTGGCAAACACCACCCTGCATAAGAGAGTGATGTAACCTAAGCCTGGACCAACAATTTTGACCACAGTTTTGGGCCACAAAAGCACTGCCCTGCTGCAGGGGTGGCTGTATGACTGAGCTGTGTGTCAGTGTTAGTGTCAGTGCCAGTGTCAGTGTCACCCCTCAGGACAGGGCACTTACTCTCCATTTGCTTTTTGCAAAGTTCTTCCGGATCTGAGCGCTGACCGACTCGTGGATGTTTTTGTTGAGTGCTGTGTCTCCAGCAATCCTGAAATGGACAGAGCAGACATTTTTTAAGAGATCTTTCCCTCCTCTTGAACACTCTTACTTTTCCCCCACACCTGCTCCCAGGTGTGACTGCACCTGCAGTGACAATGATTTCATTCACAGATGGGCTCAAACTTCCCATGGCTGGCTCTGCTGGCAGCTGCAGTGGAAAATCTGGGGCAATAAAAGCCAGTGTAGATAAGGTTTGTAAGTCTGGCAGCTACAAAGAGGTATGGGCTGATTTTGTTGGTGCATGGCTGCTTTCTATCACCATTACAACCCCAGATGAAAACATTCTGCCTTTTTTTTTTTCCCTTTACATCCAAAGATTTAACATCAACCGGCTGAGACTACTTTTAGCCTCAGCTATGCAGAAGCTTCCAGAGCCACTCCAACCTGTCTGATTTCTGTTTGCACTGGAGATTTTCCTGCCACCCTGCAATGTAAGTAGTCATTCATCATGATTAATGTAGACTTACAGCAAAACAGAGTCACAGACACTCATTGAAGCAGCACAGGCTGCACAAAGAGCTTAAGTTGAGCAATACTTAACCTAAAATAATTGATTGATCTTGTATAGTTTCTTTAACAGATTAAGATACATTCAAATCTTCATTAAACTCTGTTATTTCAAGGGGATTTTATTGATTAATTTAACTCCTGAAGGCATGAGATCTGTTGGAATATCAGTGAACTGATGTTGGGCCATGTGCTGGGGTAATTAGTGCTATCTAATGTAGGAGATGCAAGAAGGCAAAGATGGCCTTCTATGTTGTATGTGATACTTTCAGAAATTAATTTCTTAGCCACTGTGTAGAAAAACAATGTGAATTAGCAATACAAAATTATAAGAAATTTAATAATCCACCAGGACCAGAGTCTTCCAGTCTGAGGAGCTCCAGCAGGATAATCAGGAGGTCTGGAGGACTCAGCAGTCATTAAGTCCTTCTGCCCACCCCAGCTCTGCCAAAATAATTTTGACAAATATTTGACAAACCAGTCCCTAAAGATCTTGGAAAGATGGAGACTCCTCAGCCATCCTATTTCAGTGCCTCACTACCTCCTAGAAGACATGGAAAATAGTTTATTCCCTTTGTCTTGGAAGCATCCTTTCACATATTTGAAGCCTGTTATCATGACTTCTCTCAGTCTTCTCTTCTCTAGACTAAACAGAGTTTCCCTGTTTCTTCATAACTCATGTTTTCTAATCCTCTGATCTAGTGAGCTCCTCTGGACTTTCTCCAACTAGTCCACATCTTCCTTTGAGGGCAGCACCCAAACTTTCTCAGTTTTCCAACTAAGGCAGCAGAATGGCAGCATTGCTTTCTGCTTTTAAAAGAAAAAAACTCTGCTTACATACCCCAGCCTGCTGCTTCCATTTATGTGTCCCTTTGTTGGAGACACCCCTTTCACTTTGCCCAGATCATTCCAAACTGTTCTTCTAAGGACATGCTGCTTTTTCTGCCTTCATGTCCTTGGCACATCTGAGAAGTACTGAGACCAGCCTTCTCCAAACTGCTGCCCTCCTTCCAGCTGACAACAATCTGCCAGGATCTTCCCCAGAGAGAGGAGAGGAATGCCTTACCCTTGGGAGGAAGGACTAAACCCTCATGTCCCAAGAGTGGAGACCCACCAGTCCCACCCTGCTGTAACTGAGCTCATCTCTGTTGGGTTATTCAGGAGTGCTGGAGCCAGCAGGATTGAGGGCAGGAGGAGCAGGGCTCACCCAGCTGGGAAGGGCCCTCACTGCCCTGGAAACTCTGCCTCAAGCAGACAAAAGGATGGGCAAAGCACAGCTCCCAAATGGTACCTGAATTCGTCTCCTGGGTGCTGTGCTGTTGAGAGAGAAAGGGAGGTGTTTGGCTGAAAACTGGATGGTCTTCAGATCTTTCTTTGAATATGACTCCTTCTGATCCCCTTTCCCACTGACAGCAAGGCAAGTTGGATTTCCTGGATTTCCCACTGGGGCCAGGTGACCAAAATCTTTGTGAGGCACTATCAGGTTTACCATGTTCACTGTTCCCTGTTCCATCCTCTGTCCTGCACAGTGAATATTGCCAGGCTCAGCACAGACCCTGATGGATCCCAAGCAGCCCACACTCCCAGACAGGCCCTAGCAGGGTTTCCTGGTGGGAATGCAAACTGCATGATTAGCCAGAGCCACTCCAAAATGTCATGAGCACTCTGCTCTGTCCAAGAACACCTCCTTGGTGAAGGCAGGTGCCCTCAGCACACACCAGCTGGGAGCATTGGCTGTCACACTATAGATCTCAGAAGAAACTACAAGCCAAACCATGCCTTCAGTACATGATCAAAGAGACCAAGACAGAAAATTCACTTACGCTTGCAAATTACTTTTTTCCACCAAAGCTAATGATCCATTTTGCTTTACAAACAAGTTGGTTAGCAAACTGTATAAGAACAGGTCCTGTTGCCCACCTGTCAAATCTTATTTTGGAAACATAGATAGAACAAGTTCTTGGGGCATGATGCCCTTGAAAATTCTTCCAGAAGATTGTTCTTGCCAGTTTCCACAAGGATTTGAAAATACATTTTTGTAATATGAAGCTTATGATTGCACATGTAGCTCCAAAAGAGGTTATTTTATTATTATTATTATCTTTTAGTTTAGGGATCATTTTCTGCCATGCTGGTTGTTTCAATAAGAAACTGCTGGTTCCAACAGTTTACAAACTGCCTTCTACCACCCCTAACTCTATGTTCACTATGCAATTCTTGTAATTCCAGGAAAAAAAGTCTTGGTATTTGGGTGTTTCCCAGACAGGCAGAAGAATATTTGTTTACTTCACAAGGGGCTGGAAAGACATCCTGTGAAGCCCTCAGATGCCACAGCACTGCAACCATCCTATACCTTAGCTCTCTTCAGCAACATAAGCACCTTGCAGATGATAGTTTCTAAGCAGAGCAAAATCACAGCACTGCTGGGGCTAACTGAGTGCAGCAGGAGCTGTTCCAACACGTGCTGGCATGCTGCACGGTGTGGCTCAGAACGCAGCCTCAGCTGCCAGGGCTGGCAGTGGGATTGCTCTCCAAGGCGCCTTTGAAGAGCTACCCTGTTCATCCTGGGGTGCTGGAACATGAGCACTGTGCTTTCAGACTGCGTTTTGCACTTGGAGGGTTTTGTAACTTTTATGAAATACTTGTGGTGTTATAGTGTTTATAGTATAGTTTTACTTCTAGGAAAACAAGAGCAATGCTATCATCCCTTCTCTGTTGGTGCTTTGCTGCAGATGTGGGGGTTTCAGGACTTGGAAGAGGTGGAGGTGAGCAAGGAGAAGTCAAATGTTTTGTACTCTCAGCTGGTAGATATGAAAAATGAGATATGTTCGGGCACACAGATCTACTCTGTGGTGGCTATCATGAGCATCCTCACATCTATACCAAAAGTATTTAATCATGAACTTCATTTTCCTTGCTGAGAAGAGAAAGAATAAAATTAAAAGATAACTAAAACTAGTGGTTTTAGTGTATTCATAATTTCCCATCCGTATTTCCCTAACTCTCCAAGTCCACAGGCTATAAACCATCTCATTTTTCCTTTTAGGACAAAAACACCTTCATATCTCTCTTTTTTTTCTTTCTTTCTCCCTCCCTCTCTAGAACAACATATACTTTGCCTCTAGAAATCAGCTCAATTTTCACTGAGAAATTGCAATCAACTTGAGCTAATCAGACTGATGCTTATCTAGTCCTGAACAATAGTTTCTGGCTTTGCAGTTAACTTTGAAGTTAACTATGTCAGCTCTGAATTTTTTTTTTACCAACTGTTCTACTTGGCCCAGTAAAAGACATTGCTTCTACCGACCACACACATACACAAAAATAAAATTAAAAAAAATCAGAATATTGCATCATCTGTTATCCTGCTGAGCATCAACCAGAACCAAGCAAGGACTGATTAGTCTAGGTGAGACCTGGATTTTCTCTCAGCATTCCCATTTTTGCAGCACCTGAGAGCAGCTGCATCCTGACAATGCTTTGGGGAACTTCATGTTGAAGCTGGTTTTACATCCAGTTGTAAATACAGAACTGTCTCAATGCACAGAAAGGGATACCAAGAGACCAAAAATGATGGCTCCCCATCCCAAACATATCCACTGAAACTAAAAAGGGTATTTCTCATGAATAACCAGAACAAATCTAATCCTGCACATGAGAGGAATCTAATCTAATGATCAAATATTATTTCATAGTATCTAATTTATTTTAGCTCTCTAGCTAAAGACTTCAAACTTATCACACCAATTTATCTGGCCATACCACTTCTAAGCTTTGAGAGGAACCTCCAACACAGACAAAACCAGCAAATTTCCTTTTGGACAGTTCTTCCTTTGCATGCTGCAAGCAAATGTTTCTCTCATCCTCCCTGCCCACAATGGCAGGCAGAGCCTTTCATCTACCATTATTTTCTGAACCCTCCTTCTGAAGGCAGCCAACTCAAATGCTGTGCTGGCCAAAAAGTCTTTGGAAATACTCCTGAGTATGATGACAGGAAACATGGAGTTAGCTGTAATGGATAATGCTGAGGGATCATAACTCTTCTACATGTACACACACACACACACACATCCATGCACGTATATAAATATACACACACACTGTATCAGTGATGTTCCAAAATAAATAGAGTGTGGGGATGAACTCGATAAGAGTTTGATTTAATGTTGTAAACATCAGCAATTCCCTTCAGGAAGGCCTTTTCACACTTCAAACAATATTGTCTGAGAGCTGAGCTCTTTGTAAACCACGTCCTTTCCCTGGGTGGAAATTATTATCTGGCTTGTGCTCTCTGGCACACGATAAACACTTGGAGTCATGGTCACAATTTGCAGAGGCTCAGCCCTTGCCAGAGCTTTGTGATTCCTCAGGGTGGGTGTGGCTGGATGCTGGCACATCCCAAGGATCCTTTCTCCCTTGGCACAACCAGGACCACACTCCTACCTGCACACACTGTGGTCCAACTGGTGCCACAAGCTCCTTCTCCCTTCTACAGTCTCTGTATTTACAATCTCTACATGGAGGCCATTAATCCATCATCCTTTAATTTGGATGCCCCAAATTGCCTGTGATGCTGTAAGTGCCTTCAGTACACAGCTTTAAATCCCATTTAAGTTCAAATCCCATTGGTTTATGCATGATGGAGTAAATAAATTCATGGCAGCCCTTCTAAGTTCTGTATTAGCTTCCTAACTGCTGGACTTTGTCCTCACACTCTGAGCACTGTTTCCTTGCCCTCTGATCCGAGCCTGGAGGCTGAATTTGGCTCTGCAGGACCTAGTCTGACCTGATGGGGAGCACATTTTGATAATCCTTGAGGGTCCCTTCCACCTCAGGATATTCTATGTTTCTGTAAGTCTGTAGCTGGAAAAAACAGGTCCTCAGGTTTCTGCTGCTCCCCCCTAATCACTGCAGACTGAGCCACTGCCCTAAACAGGATGTGGGCTCTGACATGGCAATATATTTAATAAACTTAATTGCTGTCTTTAATATGAGCCAGGGAAACATTAAAATGTATCAAGCTGCAGCAAAATCACCCCATTCTTTTGTTACCTTCATTTTCCATGTCCTTTTTGAAAAGTCACAGTGGGAAAAGCTAAGCAGAACATTGCACCTTTGCAACACCCCATAAACAGTGCAAACCTCACTGAAAGATACATTATAAAATAAATAACTTTTCCAGTGGAAAGCATAAGTCACCTGTATATTAAACTGGAGAAATCTGAATAAATGGACACGCAGAGGTGGACTCATTACACCAACAAGTCTCACATATTGTACTGTTTCTGCTGTCATACTTCACTGCAATTATTAGCCTCCTTTTCTGCCAGCTCTGAGTTTAACACACCATCCCCCTACCAAGGCCATTTGATTATAAATAGCCAGACATCACATAAATGCAGGCATGTGGTGAGCAGATACACTGCAGAAAAGTGGGCCATTGGGAAGAAGTATTGACTTTTTTCAGGGTCTGATCCTGTGCAAACATTTAGTCATGCAAATAGCTGTCTGTTCTGGAGCAGCTTCCCAAAATTCAAAGATATTATTAACCTTAAAGGCACAAATGTATTATCTTGCAAGATCCAGTTCCTGCAAGCCCTGTTTGGAAGGATTTAGTGAAAACACTGTGATTAAAATAAAAGGTGTGTTTTAGAATCTGTTTGTTCTTCACAAATACTGCATATTGAAACAACAAAATTTCATGGCCAGGTAGCTATGTCATACACAGTTATCTACTTTTAGCACAATCAGATTATAAAATATGAGTTAATTATTCATGATTTGATAGATTTCATCCTAATTTGCGAAGATCTCAATGATCTGAAACTGCATAGGAAGAATTCACAGCAGGAAGAAAAAGGGAAAGCTGGAAAATGTTACTACATGAAGCCACCTCACCATATATCTATTAAAAATCTGCCATTTGCACAGCAACAGTGACCCAGGGAGGCCTGTGTTCTGCTGATGAAACAAGGAGACAAACCCAAAATCTCACTGAAGTCTGGCAAAACTCCCATTAGCCTCAGTGGAATCAGGATTTTGCTTCATGAGAACTCTAGGTTCAAAGATGCTTCTCTAGTTATGTTCCTTGTGCAGACAAGAAAAAAAAAACCTTTTATGAGCAGCCATCAAGGGCTGCTTGCAGTGCAAACACTCTGCAAAAACATATAATTTATGGGACCACTTCAGCCTGCTCTGATCATCCCTTCCCACTGAGCCAAGAGCTTCAGGTACCTCTGTCCTGTGATAACTCACAGAGCAGATGCTCCCTTGGCATCACTGTGGAAACTGAGGTAGCTGGGGGGATGTGAAATCCATGCTCATCTCAAAAGGGGCTGTGGGATGATCCAAAAGCTGTGGTGGCCTCTCTCTGCTGGCTGCACATGTGCACCCCTGTCTGCAGCTGCTGCAACAATGAATGTAACCATGAGGGAGAGGAACTCAGGCCTGGAGCTGCTGGAAATTTAAACAAGCCCAGGTTGAGAGAAGGACACAGCTGACCACTGAGACAAAGCACAGAACTCTCTTCCTCCTTCACTGAAAAAGCCTTCCCTCCCTTCCAGGAGAAGGAAAGGATGTCACTGCCACAAATGTAATGGCTAGAATGAGAAAAAAAACCAGCAAAACCCTCACTATTTCCTGATATAAGGAATCTGGGTGGAAAATGCTCCTTGAGCAATGCTTTGGCAAAAGGAGATCCTACCACTAACTCCAAAACAACATCTGGGTGAGCAGCCATGATTATCCAAAAAGGCATTTATCACTACAGGATCCAAAGCCTCCAAAAATAAAAAATCACTGCCTATCTCTGCAGAGAGTCCATAACTGCAGTGTCCATGTTACAGGGAGCTCTCAGAGCAAGAGGGAATGAGGCACGGAAAGCTGCTCATGGGGAGGACAGAGACAGGTCTGAAGCCATCCATGGCTTTGGAAACCTCCATTATTTTCCTTTTTGTCCTCTAATCCCCTGGCATACACTCTCTCCGAGTCAAAGGGAGGTGGATTCAGGGTGTGGAGTGCCAATATGTTGAATATTTTCAGCCTGCCTTCTGCAGTGCCATTTGCATGTCTGACATTTCAAAGGCTGACCCTGAGCTGTGCTGTGTCAGAACCTGAAGTCTTGAAAATGAACCACTGGATGGCAAAGTCAGCCTGGCAGAAGATGACCCTCTGCCACAGAAATGGGGAAAAAACCTTTTTGGGGGGTTGCTTTTAAATGGAAAATTGGATTCTGTGGGAAATAGTACGAATTATGTAGCAGCCTGTGAGTTTCCATTGGCCCTTGGCCATGACATGCAAAAGAAAAAAACCAAAACCACACACAAAAAAGGAATGAAAACACTTTTTATCATTTTGTTCCTTTCAGAGGGCCCAGAAGCTGTGTGTGTTACAAGTGCCACGTTTCTTTGTTGCACTCCAGCCACCAACACAGATGTAGCAGGGCCAGAAGCTGGATGCTTACATTTTGTGTATCTTGGATGTAAGGCTTTGGAAAATCTGTCTCTGAGTTGTACAAATGGTCACCTCACTCCCTGCTGGGAGCTGCATTCTCATTGTTTATTCTGCATTCCTAATACTGACTTGTTTAATTTCCTGAGGCTCAGGTCAGTATCATTTAGAACCAGTTTGGGATTTTTTTCATCTCACAAAAGTGGGATTTCATGTCTCAAATTTCCTTTTTGTTGCACAGACAATGCCAAAGGAAGTGGCATTTGGGGCAATTGTAACAGTATAAAACAGAGTGTAATGCACACCTGGGGTGAAAATGTTATGCCATTAACTCTTTTCTGTTGCAGCTATTGTAACAACAAAAATAATACCTCACCTTGCTTATATAATATTCCCTACCCTAAAAGAGATTCAGAGCCCATGTGTGGGTGCAGCTGGTAGTGTGGGATGATGCTCTCAGTCACTCAGGGCTGGTCAGAAGCACATGAGTCACCCTTGTTCCAGCTACAAAAACCTTGGGAAATGTTGATGAAGTCACTCATATGCAAAAGGATCATTTGACTTTAAGCACTTTAATCATTTTGGCACATCCCACTGCTGCACTACAGTCAACATACATAATTCAGCATTTTACTAATCCTTACACAGGTTGGTGCATGAGATTAAAGTCCATTACAGTTTTCCAGGAAAATCTGGAAGACAAAGGCAGGGGTTGTAAGAATAAAAGCTCAGAGTTATGTGGTAGAGGTCAGTACAATATGTGACAGAAAAACCACTTCCATGCAGGAATGAAAAAAGTGCTCTGTGTCCTGAGGGTTTCTCGGAGCACTGGGTCATGCTTACCAAGGGTGCCGCGCTGCTTGCTCACAGGTGTATCTTTTATTGGGGTCCTTCTCCATCAAATTCCGAATGAAGTCTTTAGCTAAAAAAAAAAAAAGAAAAAAAAATAAAGAGAAAATGATTGAAAGCAATAGAGTTGATACCCAGTTCTGCTGCCACTTTCAACAGCACTGATCAGGCTACCAAGTGCCATCTGGCCACAGCACAAGAAAACAGCCCTGGGTCCTTTGTCATTTATTATAGATAGAACCAAAGTGACTTAGGACCAAACCCAAGCTATTTAGTGTACCAGATAAAGCTGAAGGCATCTACTCGTGCAGGTACATTTAGGAGTGGGATGGATAATTCAGAGTCAGCAGTGCACAGCTCTGGGGCCCTGGTCAGCATTATCTTAGTGGTGTGAATGTGGCCACATGCACTGGACATGCTGGTCAGCTAGGGGAGAGGGAGGAGGTCAGATGGCACAGTCAGAGGAGCTTCATATTGCTCATTCCAAGCACATGGACAGCTGTGAGGACATGTTGTCTGTTGTCCTGGGTTGACTATATGATGCTTTTATCCCCGACCACCTTGTTCTGTTTACGTTGAATAATAAGTTTTGCACCTTTAAGCCTTGTTGCAGAGAGTGAAGGGGGCAGAGAAGAAGCAGCAGTTTGTTTTCAGACACTGCACTCACTCCACCATATTCCTGCTCCTGGACTGTGCTGTCTGCAGATGGACAGACAGCAGGACAGAGCTCTCCTTTGCTTTTAGTTAGTTTTAGCTAGCTGAGGCAAAGAAGTTCCCTGGACTTTTTGTTTCTTTTTTCCCTTTTCTTTGGACCTCTTGAACCCTGCTCTGGACTGAACACACAGGGGAGCACCAGCAGCTCCCACCTGAGGCCCACTGGGCCAGGCCGGGCCTGCGACATTTCCAGCACTGAGGGACTGACCAGAGCCTGAGTGAGCTGAGCTGCAACCCGGGGAGGGACTTTCTCAGTTTGTCATCTCCTTTGGAGCAGCAAGGGGTTTTATTGTTTGATATAGTTTAGGTTTTATTGTTTAATAAACAGGTTTTTTTTCATATTTCTCCAAGGAGGTATTTTCTCCCTGACCGGTTGGGTGAGGGGCCAATTGAATCTGCTTTCCTAGAGGAGCCCCTTTGGGGGTTCTCTCCCAAATTTGCTCTGAACCAGGACACCTATTTAGGAGGAACTGAGCAAGGCAAATGGACTCCCTGGAGCAGGAGGCAGTGTGTTTTTAATCAACACCACAATGGAAGGAAGGGAGATTGCAGCATGGCGTGCATCCAGCAGCTTCAGGACAGTGCAGCTGAAGGAGCCACAGCAAAGCCAAATATGGCAGGAAAATCTTTGTGCTGATTTAGGTGATGGACTTTCCCTCACGAGACAGAAGGGTCTGCCAGCAGACCTTCAAATTTTCTCTGAAAATTCTTATTAGTTTAAAAAAACTTCTCATCACATCTATTTTTGAGCAATCCATCACAATGATATCTGGACTGCAGATGTAAGCAGCATAAAATGTTGCTCTCTGTGTGGAGATAAGAGAATATATAATCATCTTTATAATAAAAACACTCAATTTTTATCTCCCCAGCCTCAATCAGTAGCACTAATAAATCAGAAAACTGTATTTATAGGGATATTTTTACATTATGGAATATTCCTAGAATCATTTCTTCTTCTGCATGAAGCAGCAGATGTTTCCCTGGGCTGGACAGAGCAAGGACACTGAGCTTGGGTGACCTTTTGGAGGCTAAACAGCATGTCAGGGACACATGCAGGTGCAAGGCTGAATGTCCCCTGCTGTCACCCCTAGACACAGACCCACACTGGAGCCAGAAGCCCTTGGAACACCTGCCTGTAACACATGTGGGGTATCTGCCCCACTGCCAGGCTCACTGGAGCAGGGGCAGGTGGGTACTATGGGTTACATGTCCTCTGCACTGGATGGGGAACATCACCCACACGGACAGTCCTTCCAGTGTCTGGATCTGCTCACCTGCCTCATTTGCAAGCCATTCATTTCTTGACTTTTTGCTGCACAGACTGAGGACTTGCTTTGGAACTGCAGTGGAGTGTCAGCAACAGAGCCAAACTCATTTGCCACATTATTATTAATGGCACATTAACAATCTGCTTTTCATTAGGACACAATGAAGAAATTAAGCTGCTTTTTCTTCTTGGGACAGTCTTCTGCCATCTTTATCTGCTGTTTGAGCTATGTTTTAGTGCTTTTTGTGTGACTGATAGACCTAATTTGTCTGCTGCAGAAACAAACTCCCATGACTATTTGAGCCAAAAGAAATGCACATTCCCACTGGAATGCACATTCCCACTGGTGTTCAGTCAAAAGGATCTTTGCACATGATGCAGGGTGCATTTCATGCCCGGGGGGATGCATGCAATAGGCACAGTTGCATGCATGGTTGTTGCATTTAAATTTAAAGAGCAGTAGCTACTTACCAGACTCTGAGATGTCATCCCAGTATGGAGAGTCAAACTCATACTCTGCCTTAAGGATCTGCTCAAAGAGCTTGGAGTCGTTTTCATCATAGAAAGGGGGATATCCACAGAGCCTGGTGGAGAGCAGGAAAAGAGAGAGGTGACCACTGGTGCCATCTCTGCCCAGAAGGTAAGAAGGAAGGAGGGAGGGAGAAGAAGGAGAAACTCTTGTCCCAGTAAGTTTTCAAGCAGGCGAGTGCTCCCATGAGAGAAGTTTCTTCAGGAATATGGAAAGCCATTTCTGGAGATTGGCACTGCCCTGGAGAAGGCAGAATTCTGCCTGGAAGCCTGGTGCTGTTGATCCCTCAGATATCCTGGCCTCTCTCTGCATGCTTTTGAGTGTTTAACCAGAGGAATGGTTTTATTACACCGACATGACCCCTGCCATCCTCTCCTAAGAGGAGATTTCATGAGCTAAACCCTACATGCACAGAGCATCAGCCCCTCTAACCCCCCAGCACATCCAGAGGTCCTGGTGCAGGGCAGAGCAAGGAGCCCTGCAGAGCTTTCAGGCAGAGGGCACAATGCACCTGCAGGATGTGCTGGGCTCTGTGTCCCCTGGCACAGTGAGGAGGATGCCCAGGAGCCCATGCACCTCTGCAGCAGAGCTTGCAAGGGCTGCACAGGGCCCTGGTGCTGCTGCAGACACAGGGACAGCCTCTCCCTTTCTCACTCCTGCAGGTCATTTTGCTGACCACATCCAATTGCCTGCCTTGCCTGAGGCTGACAACAGTCCTGTCCTGGTTCTCAGTGGTTATAGTCAGACTTCTCAGAAAACCTAGCCCAAAAAAACAAAACAAAACAAAACAAAACAAAACAAAAACAAAAACAAAAAAAAAAGGAAAGAAAACCAAGCGGGACATTGAGCATTATTTGCCTGGTTTGAGCTAATCCATTCAGGGTGCACCCTCCAGTGCTGCAGACCAGGACAGCCACAATGCTGAGGCAGGGCTGGATGTGGGAAAAGCACATCTAGCACTGCATTAAACAAGTGCAGTGATAAAACTCATGTGTCAGAGATCCCTCACACCCAGCTGGTGCTGCAGGCAGGATTCTGTCCCACTCTGCACAGACATGCCAGCAGAGACAGCCCTTCTTCAAGTTTTAACCCCAGTGTTGCAAAGTGCCAGATTTATGTCTGAAGCTGGACCAAGGTTTTAGCAAACCCATCCTGCTCACAGTTAAACAGCCCTTCCTGCCTCTGTGTAGAGATGATACATTTTTTTCCTCTTATCACTGATCTGTGGTCTAAATCATTCTTCCACATGCTTTGCTGGTATTGAAACGATATTTTTCCTACAGTTTTTTTTAAACTCTGAGTCAATCAGCCTCAGTAAAGCATTTAATTGGAGAGAGCAATTACAAACAGACTGTAGATCTAGCTCAGAAACAGCAGCAGAAACTGCAAGAAATGAATACTTGAGTTATTTATAACCCAAAGGCAGCCGGCTGCCCTGGAGGTTATTTGAACCAACTCAAAACTTGAGGGTGAAAGGAGCAATGTTTTGTTAGCTCTGAAGAGGCAGTGTGCTTGATAAATAATTTAAATCCTGAGATGTTGATCTGCGTCACGGCCACGCTGACCCGGGAGAACTCCACTGACATTTGCAGCATGATGATGAACCCACTGTGGTTCAGCTGAACCAGAAATCTCTCTCTTTATCTCAGAGAGATGAGCCAGTCCTCATTTGTGTGCCACAGGATGAATGCCCTTATCTAAGGAGGAAGAGAACCTCCTGCCAGACAAGTGTGTATGTCCAGAGCAGGACTATGTACCCATTTCATGGGCACCTGCTGGTGCCTGGGGCTGGGCGCTCCTGTTGGAACCCCCATGGTGCAGGTGGTGTACGAGAAGAGTCCCTAAAATACTAAATTTAGCAAATGCCAAAAAGCCACTATGTACACAGACAACAGAGGAAAAACATCTGGTGGCTTAATGAAGAGATTGGATCCACAATCAGTGTCTAGCTCTACTGGTATCTGTGAAGAAATTATAAATTACTTGTTTTAGTGTAATAATTATCAGTGCTCACATCCCACAGTCTTGGGATGGGATGCACATGAACAGATTTTCTCTTTCCTCCTCTTTTGTCACAACCCTCAAGATTTTGGATGCTTTACTGAGGGGAAATGATGGAGCTGACAACAGCAGTGCTGCAACTGGCAGGATGAGCACCAGGGTAGAGATACCCAGGTTGGAGAAAATGAAAAAGAAAAAAAGAAAAAAAAAAGAGAAAAAGAAAAAAAAAAGAAAAAAAAAGACAAGGAAGAAAAAAGAAGAAAAAAGAAAAAAAATTAAAAAAGAAAAAAGAAAAAAGGAAAAAGGAAAAAGGAAAAAGGAAAAAAGAGAAAAGAAAAAAGAAAAAAGGAAAAAAGAAAGAAGAAAAAAAAGATCCACTTGAAGACATTGCTCTGTCCCCTCCTCCCTGTGAGACTCAGAGAGCTGCATTTAAGGAGCCTGACAGCCCTTCATTAATTTCTTGCCTTCCTCAGCACTTTCCTTAGACAAAGCCGAAGTGCTCTGATAAAGCATTTGAAGGCAAGCAGACAGTGCTGTGCATGCTGGGGCACTGGCAGGCTGCTCTGGAGAGAGAAATAACTCTCTTCAAATGTGCACTGTACTAATTACCTTGGCAGAGGTACAAGAGCACAAGTTGGGACTGCTGTGATTTATGCACACTTGTGGCAGCAAAAGGTGGGAGTGAAGTGCTAAGCAGCACAGAGCTGGAGGGCAACAACCCTGCAAAGGGGGAGCACAGAGATATGAGTCCCTGCAAGAACTCCAGCCTCTCCAGAGCCTTCAGATTATGGGGGAGATTAAAATCTTGCATGGCTGGAGTATGTACAGGGCTGGGGAATCAGCCTCTGTGTCCAGGAGGTCACTGCAGCCCATGTGGATGCACAAGGAGAGACAGGGTCATCCAGGAGGGCACCAGAACTGCCAGGAGCTGGGCACAGGGCAGATAAAAGCCTGTTTTGGCAAAGCTTTTCTCTTGCTAGGAAGAGGATGAGAAGTATTCATTGCTGCTACAGGTCATGGGCAGGAAGATCCCCCCAGATCAGCCCTCACCTGAGAGCTGAGTGAGCCCAGGGGCTGATCCTGGCTTGGCCAGGGATGGGATGCACAGGGGGATGCAAGGATGTTCCTCTGGGAGGCAAATCAACGAGGATCTACAGCAGAAAGCAGGGGAGAAGGGAGCAAGCCCTGTAGGGCACAAGAGGTGGAATGTGGGAGGGGAACATTGGGGCACCCTGATGGGTTGAGAGCCAAAATACAACTATTTTATGTACAGCTTTGCTGTCCTTTCCCTTAAAAACAGAGCTTAGGGAGTTTTAGTGTAACTTAAGGTTTAACATTATTGGCTTTGCAGAAGGGATGGGAAAGCCCCAGCAAATCAGCCTATCTTAAATTTTATGGCTGGAGGAAATCTTGCTGGACTTCCAGCAACTGGGCCACTTTCCAAAGTCCATAATGAGTTTTTTGGTTAATTCTTACAGAATCAAAATCCCACCGACTTCATTTCCATCTGCTGGGACATTTCTGTGTGAATAAAATGACCTCACTATCAGAGGTTCTGCTGCTTTTCTTCAGATATGCAGAAATGCAAAAATAACCCTTCTGTCTTCAATGTGAAAAACTCCAGCACTGTCCTGGGGGAGTTTCAGGCAGCTATTAGTTGTCATCATTTTCTTGCAGTTTCACCAAATAAAAGGTTTTCAGAATTTTTTAACAACCTTATCACATAAGCAACAGATTTTCCCCTAAACTCCTATTCCCAGTCTTGCCTTAAAAACAATGGGATGCAGATAAGAAGAACACAGGTGGATGTACAAGAGAAAGACATTTCCAGAAGTAATTTTTAAAGGTGATCCTGAGAGCACAAGAGGAATAGCAGGAACATTTTGTCTTCACCAGGCAGAGGAAGCAAACCCCTGCAGATCCCATTACATACTGGGGATGATACTAAAGGCTAAACAATTCACATGGTCAGTGTCCAGTCTGTAACACAAGAGGCCCCAGGGTTAGTTTTAAAAACAATTTTACAGTTAGATGACAATAAAGAATTCAGTAGCTGCTCAAATACCTGAGATGAATGGTGTGGGGAGTCATCCAAGTGCTATTTATAGGGATTAAACACATGTATTTCTTCTGTGTATTTTGGGAACAGTCCCTCATATTGGCTGACACTGGTGCCCCACAAAGCTGTGGACAAGGACACATCAGCAGAGGGGATCACACACAAATCAAGAAGCAAGCAATGAGGAATGATCATTTGGGGCTGTTTTCCCAATGTTAACTGAGTTTCCCTGAGCAACCCAAAATGCCTGTGTCCTCTGCCACCTTGATTCTCCTTCCAGGGCTGAGCAAGTAAGTTATTCCTCACTTTTTTCCTTAACCAAGCAGGAAAGATGACTGACCACTTTTTCCCAATGGATGACTCCTAGGTGATGGTGGAAACTTCTTTTGGCACAAAATACTTTGCACTGTCCCTGGTTAATCCTTCCATACAAACAGCACTGATGATTCATGCACATCTACTTGAGAGTCAAAAGCAGTTCAGCAGCAAAGTGTGAAAGTTTGATCCAAGATTTATCTCCAGATAGGTAATTTTTTATAAACAACAACAAACCAGTAAATCTCTGTCCAAACAGTGACTGGAAACAGAAGAAAATTCAAGAAAAAATGTGTTTGACCTATTGCAGAAAACTATGAATAACCAGGAGTTGAGGCAGAGCATTCTGTGCCCCCAGGTTCTTTTCCAGCTTCAAAACATGATTTTCTATTTTTTGCATAAATTAACCTAATCTTCTCTATATAAAGTATGCATGTGATCAGTATTTTCCCCAAGCTTTTGTAATCCCTTATCTGACCCAGAAAGGCCCCAAATCCAGCTGCTGGGAATCCAGTGAAGTCTCTTGCTCTTCTTCTGCTTTATATTTTAGAGCTGGACACATGATCAAAACTACCTTGTGATAAGTAGAAGGCCAGGCTCAACAGTGAGACTGTTTCAAATTGAGAAATAATGCAACTGGAATAACAGGAAATTTCAGGCTCTAAAATTAGTTTTTGTGAATAATGACTTCTCATGCAAAACAGGTTTTGATAAAAACTCCATTGGTGTAGCCTGTGCAATCTGGCTGTCATTAAGGAGAAGCATTGGAGACTGGCACTGAAACAGAATTATTCTGTCCCAAGACATCCTTGCAGATCACGGAAACAAATATTTCTCCACAGCATCAGTGCCTCAGAAACAGTTTGTTCTTCCAGTGTCATGAACTGAGGGCTCTCCAGTGAGACTGAGCTCAGGTCTGGAGGCACTCAAACCACTTGTAGTAATATTAGCTCAAAGCATCTTTAATTTATGCCTGATTTTGTGCTGGTTTCCTTTGAGTTTCCATCTTCTTAAATGACAACAGTCTGTCCAGAGTGGCAGTGAGGATCTGTGGGAGAGGTGAGGAGATGAAGCAGGACGTGGTGCTTGGATTGCCATATGTAAAAATGCATCTCCAGCTGGTTTGGGCATGTGCAAGTGACTCCAGCTGTGCTGACTGTGGAGCTGGAAATGGCAAATCCAAATGGGTGCAGCTACATATTGGGGCTAATAACTCCTGCTCAGCTAATAACTCCCAGCATTTCACCAGGTCCTTGTGGCATCTCAGTGCCATGTCACTCTGGGAGCTGGTGCTGCTGCCTCTGATGGTGTGGCACTGCTGAGGCCACAAAGCTGCCTGTTCAACCTGTGCCCATCACTGGCTGTACCAGACACCCCACCAGGGACAATTCCCTCCAGCTTAGGGAAGGACCCGCCTCCTCCCTCTCCTTTTACTGCATTCCAGGCATTCACTTAAGACACCACATCTGCAGCTTCTGGCTATTCCTGGAAGCAAGGATGAGATCCAGACCAAGGCTAGGACACGTGAGGTGTGGGCTGGGTTTCTCAGATCACATTGCACTCAGCAGAGAGGGATCAAGGGAGGTTGGAGAGTGATGTAAATGTACCAAAAGCAGATGAATCCACACTGTGGGAGCGGGGCTCTTAGCAGGGAGCAGGGTGTGATCCAGTCACCTCAGCATGAGCATCTGGTGCTGTTTGACCTGCCCCATGGTCCCAGGCTTGGATCCATCTGCCTCTGCAGATGGAAGGGCTCTGCAATGTGTTATATTTTCCAAACCCATGTGGCTGCCCTGGACCCCCCAGCATGGCCCTAAATGTCCAAATTTAGGCAACTGAACAGCCCACCCTGGTGAAATGGCTGTTTGCATCCACTCAGGCTGGGCTGGGGTGCCCAGTGACCTGGGAGTGCACAGGGCCCCTGATGCCAGGGGCTGTGGGGGGCTGACCAAAGGGAGCCCAGGAGTGCTGCTCACTGCCACAGGAGCTGGAGGATGTGGCTTACACATTGAAAGAGCTAGTTTGGTCTCAGACCCAATCCCACCCAAGCTGTAACAATCTGGCAAAGACATTAACAGGCTCCTTCTACAGCCATGTGTTATTGCCACTTATTTGGGCTGTACAAAATACAAATCAAGACCTTATTACCTGAAGCACAGAAAGCCTGAAAAGGCTTCCTTGTCCTGCAAACAGGAATTCATAGAGGCTCATTCTTACTGAGATGATTTAAGCCTTCTGGGCTGGGAATTCCCTGTGTAGTGAATAGGGAATTTAAATTTGCCCAACAAGCTGCGCACATGCTGATTTGGAAAACAGAGCAGGAAACAGAGCTGAACCTTGCAGAAAGAGCAGCCTTGCTGTAGGAAGGGGGAAAGATTATGGAGGAGATTAAAATCTTCCACCTGTTGAAGCAGTGCTCATAAAGTGGGTGTGGAGGACACATTGCCCAGCAGCGTCTCACCCCTATTCCCCAGCAACAAGTGAAATAAGGGCACAGGTCTGCCTTTGGTGCATGAGACATGGACACATGGGACTGACAACCTGCAGGAAAGCAGAGCCAGGTTTATCTCCAGGCAGCCACAACCAACAGCTCCCAGCGCTCCCCTAGGCTGCAGATGGACACATTTTCATGGTGGATACTTAGCAATAAACTGAACCCAGGCACCAGCTGAGCCTGGATGTGAGGCAGAGTGGTGCTATCTCCAACCTGCATTCTCCTTTTCCCACTCCCTGAAGCTGGTACTCAGCTAAGTCCTAAAAGAGCATCAGAAAAATCCAACTGTGTCCTGCCAGGGCTGGCAAGGACTGACAATGTCAAAAATCCCAACCCTTAGGACTATCATGATCAGATTTGCTTGTGGAAAAAGGTAACTTTGAGTCAGCACACACAGCATCCTCATCTAAAAGAGCACTAAGGAATGGTTTGTGAAGCAGCCTTCAAGGTATTTTGGCTTGTCTGTGCTCTTCCTCACTGCTGTAGTAGGTCCCAGTGGGCTTTGAACAAAAGTCAAAGCACTGTTGATTTTTGCTTTGTTTAGCAAAAGCTTTTTGCATCCTGCTATTGATGGCTGCTCCAAGAGAAATCCATTCCCATGTAAGTTTTGTACTCAACAAGTTTTCAAAATAGACAGTCATAAAACTAATGTTTTCAGACAGGATTTTGGTTTCAATAAATAAACACATGTGCAACAAACCAAGCCACCTTCCTATACTATTTAATATAAAACCTCCTTGTTTTGGGGAGCATATAAATTATGCTAATGTAATGCAAATGTAAAGCAAATGTAAAGAATGAACATTGTACAGAGAGGATAGCACAGCAATGAGGTATGTCCCGGCAAAAATAGTTCTACAGCACCATCAAAAAGTTATTCATGTTGACAAGCCATGAAATGTCTGCATAAGGAAAAAGGGAACAAAGTAGGAATGCTTTAATGCTGTGCCTTATTGGAGCTGCTTTTTCCTTCAGTCTTGTATAACAGTTGTGACAGTTGTGTAAAAGGGAAAAGTGAAAAAAAATAAAACAGTGCTAATGCTGTCAGGAAAAGACATTTGTTTCTGTGGCAGCTCAGTGGACACAGCCAGATTGGTTTCTTCTCAAAGCTAATCTGAGCAGGGTACAACAATAACTTCAATAATGTCACAAGCCCACATTACTGCACACAGTGTAGTTCTGATGAGAGCAAGGATTTGGACAGCTGAAGGGTACTAGTTCATTTCCTACCACTTTTGCTCAAATTTCAGCCTTTATGCAGCGGGGAGGTTGTCAGGACCCAGGACATTCCTCTGGCTGCCCTGGATGACTCGAGACCCTGGCACGGAGTCAAAAACACCTGTGCCTTCAATTTCAGTCCATGGAAAAAACTACCAATTTTGTGTGAAGAACTACAAGCCACAAGAGTCTGAGTAGAATGATAGTTAATTTGTCACAGGGTGAAAAAGTAGAATTTTGCGGTTTTAGAATGGGCTTCAAGAGGCAAAATAAAAAAATCTGGGTGTGTCCTGTCCTTCTTCTTATCCTCCATCTTCTGCTGTGCTAGTAACACTTTTTGATTGGTTTAAAATAAAAATAGACTGTCTAACATAGGTAAAAAGCATTGGAAAATTAGTGTAAATAAAATACATGTAGTTCTTAGTATAAAAAGGTAACACTACCCCAAGGGCAGGTGCTGTGCCACAACTCAACCTGCTGGACATATCTCACTCAGCAGGTCAGAGAAAGAATGTAATAAATAAGAAAAAATAAACAACCTTGAAAAGCAAAACTGACAAATCTTGACTTTTTCTTTGGTTGTGAGGCTGGGAAAAAATACTTTCTAATACCTCAGAAGTCACCTCAACCACAGACACCTGAGAGGAGGTGTCCAGGGTACATTCTACCCTGCATCACAAGTGTCAGGGGTGAGTTACTTTGCCCCAGGCTGAGCAGGTAACTCCATGGTGGGACAGCAAGCTGCAGGTGCCAGCACTGGGGACTCCAGTGGTACTCACAGGATGTAGGCGATGACCCCGATGGACCAGCAGTCCACGGCTTTGCTGTAGGGCTTCTGGGCCAGCACTTCAGGAGCTGAAAATAAAAAGCCAAACAAGCATGTGTTATAAGGCCAGACATTTGAATATGGCAAAAAGGTAGGACTCTGAGACTTGGAGACCCCCAAGACCTTGTTTTGCTCTCCACACATAACCCTTGTGTAGCCATGGTATTTTCTGAAATATCCCTTTGCCAGGATTTTTCTCCTGAGAAGCCTCAGAGGAAAAGAAAAACAATAATTATCTGCTGCTGTGGAATGCAACAGGTACATCTTTGATTGGTCCATGTTGGTTGTTTCTAATTAATGGCCAATCACAGTCACGTGGCTTGGACTCTCAGAGTCAAAAGCTTTTATCATCCCATTCCTTTCTATTCCTTGCTAGCCTTCTGATGAAATCTATTCTTTTAGTATACTTTTAATATATAATTTTCTTTTAACATAATATATATCATTAAATAACAAATCAGCCTTCTGAAACATGGAGTCAACATTCTCATCTCTTCCCTCATCCTGGGACCCCTGCAAACACCAGATCCTTGTGTTTGCAAATGTGTCCTGAGGTTTTTGAAGGTCATATTCTCACAAGAAAGGATGACTCTGAAAGTAGAGCAAATTCACAATTTTTTTTTTTTTTCTCCAGGCACAGAAAACAAAACAAAGCACAGAAAAATGCGTGAGAGTCAGAGGCCCATCACCTCCCTGTTTAGGAGGGAAATGAGGCCGAGCTTTGCAGCGGTGCAGAGATGCAGATTCTCCCTGACAGCATCACAGCTCTGCTCTGCCAGAGAGGGCAGCTCCAGAGGCAGCTCAGAAAGGGCAGAGAGTCAGGGAGGAGATAAGCTACATCTGCAGGAGAGGAAGGAGAGCAGCCACCACTTCTTGCAGCAGCTGCCTCCCAAAGCCTGCTGGATGTCAGAGTCAGAGGGAGCCAGTTGTCCTTCTGCCTCTGGGAACACAGACAGCTCAGAGGGAGAAATGAAAAGCTGCAGGAACTGGACATGTGCACAAAGGAACTGAGCCTCCTGCCTCTATACAACCATTATAGCCTAAATTTTGCTCGAAGCAAGAGCCTGGGAATTTATTTAAACTCCTTGTGGATCTGCTTTACTATCTTATACTACTGAGACTTTAAAAGATGTATTTTTTTGTTTGGGTCCCTGTTGAGACCTTGCAGTGCAAATGCTTAAACCTAAATTTTAAACCTCTGTGACCCTAATCTTTTTCATGTAAAGAAGCTTTTGCCTTTTTCAAAGCAAAACATCCACAATAATGCAAGAAATCACTAATTGTAGCATTTCTAAAGCAGACTTGCCATACTGGGTTTTAAAAAGTACAGTATTTCCTTTGAGTAATTTGGAGTTCAAATGCTGGAAAAAAGTAATGAAGTGACAAATCCCAACAAAAATATTTCTTGGGAGTCACACCTTCCTCTGCTGGGAGTCTCACCAGCTCCAAAGCACTTAGTTACTTGAAGAAGAGCAAAAAACAAATTGTGAAACACAGAGATATATTAAAGCTTGAACCTCACTTTTAGTAGCTATCTATCCTCTGCTGTACTGGTAGGACTTTTTAAAGTCTTATCTTCTTAATCCAGACAAGCCAACCAAAAAAAAAAAAAAACCCAAGGTAAATACTGCCAGCAAGGTATGGAACAAGAAGAGATAATGAGAATAAAAAAAAGACTTTCCAATGCTGTGGCATGAGGGCTCATAGGGGGGACTGGAGGAAGAGAGGGCACAAGGCAGGTGAGGGCATCTGCATTTCCACAAGCAGAACAATGATGGAAATGGGTTATATTTCACCAGGGACACGTTCCAGAACTGAAGAAAGTTCAGGGGAATGTGGGTAAAATTATAAGTGCCAACCACATTATGAAGACTCTTGAAGACTGGAATATGTCCCAATCTGCAGCACAGGTTAAATACTTCTCCAATTTTCAAGTAATTCAGCAAATTGGAACCACTGAATGTGAACTGGAAACTGGGACCACTGCATAAGAAATGAGACAGTTTCCTGTTTTGTTCCATCTCTTGTAATCAAATTTTGTGACAAAATATGAGAACGAAGGGAGTTAATTTTCTCCTGTCTTTATGTGCTTAGATGTCTCCCGACTCTCCAGCCCTTCCAAATTCCCAGTATTTTATTCACATTCTCTTCTGCCTTTGTCTGTGCCTGTTTACATAACTTTCAAGATTGGTAAACATTACACATTTCATAGCTCCTAAAGAAAATATTATGCAAATTGCTGCTGAGCACCAGTGAGCTCCTGACATTATACAGATATGCCACATTAACATAACAGAAAACAATTCTGAGATGAGGGATGTGAACTATATAAAGATTTTCCCTCTTAACACATCAAAGCTGTGCTGGGGCATTTCTCTCTGTTTTGAAGGAGTGAAGAGCACTGATGGCTGCTGCTCTGGATGGCAGCTTTGAAACAGGTCAGAACAACACAGGGTAAGCATTAACAAAGAAAGGTAGGAGGTTTAAATACTTCTTTTAAGGCCAAATGGCTGCTTTTGATTTTTGTTCCAATAAGCAGAGAGGAACAGGAGGACACAGCATCATCTGTCTCTGATGTACAGAAAAACGGAAATATTTAATGAGCTGAAAAACAAGTCAGGGAAGCTCTCAGGAATGAAGGCAGATCAGTGCCAAGAGGCAAGAGCAGGAGACACATCGAAGAAAATCCAGGAGCTGACAGCACTAAAGGATCAACACAGACGGCTGGGGAGACAAAACAGCAGAAAGGAGAAGGGGAAAGCCGAATCTCCCATTTCTGGAGCTGGGGAGATGCCAGCTGAGCAATGGCTTCCACTGTCACATATCCCCAGGGAATCACTCTGGGCTCAAACCATAAGCAGTGGCCACCTATGGTATGCAGGGAGCCCCCAGAGCTGGGAACAGTGTGCTCTGATTCCATAACTCAGAATGCTGAACAATTGCTTTATTAACACTAAATGCATAATACAATATATTTTAAAATATATAAATATATATTATATAAATAAAAATATATAACAATAAAATATATAATAACAAAATAATATCATATAGAAGACATATAATATGTATAAATATATACATATATATGTAATATATAATACATATAATAATAAAATTTAATATATAAATATATATTTTATATATAGAAATATTATAAATATAATGTAATATAGTCATATATATACTATATATAATACTATATTACATTAATGCTATACTACAACTATACTATACAAAAGATACTAAAGAAAAACCCATGACTGTCTCAGACAGTCAGGACACAGCTTGGACCCAACTGGCCAAGGAAACAAAACAACCCTCAGCAGAATCCAATTGACAAATCACTTTGGGTAAACAATCTCCATAACACATTCCACAGGTGCAAAACAACAGGAGCACTGAAGAGAGAGAAGAATTGTTCTATCTTCTTCTCTCTGTGCTTCTCACTGCCTTCCCAGGAAAAATCCTTGGGGAGTTGTGCCTGCTGCCCTCTGTGAAGAGAGCTGTGGCCACAGTCACACCCAACGGAGCAAACCTGGACCCTTCCTTCACATCCAGGAAGGTGCTTCAGGCTGAATCAGCATTGCCACAGTGCCAGGTACAAGGCATTCCACCTTCAGATACATTAAGATGTGCTTCTCCAGATGATTCTGCTGTCTTATAGTTAGCTTTATTTTTTTTTTTATGTTTTGCTTTTAATAAGAGAAAAAGTTTGAAGGCTTGTTTCAAGCACTATACTAAAGATACGAAAGAAAAACCCCTGACATTCTGAGACAGTCAAGACACAGCTTGGACCTAAATGGCCAACAAAACAATCCTCAGCAGCAATCCTCAGGTACACGAAGATGTTCTTCCCCTGCTGTCTTACAGTTAGCTTCTTTTGGTTGAGTTATATTTTGCTTTTAATAAGAGAAAAAATTCTAAGTCTTGTTTCAAATGGAGGTTTTAAGAAAAGGTGCAGACCAGAACATTTGGAGCCCTTTCAGAACACTAAGCCATTACTCTCAGAGAGCACAGCTATGCTAATAAACCCCCTAAAAATGCAGCTGCTGGATGCCAAAAACTGCAATCCATGTTCCTGCAAAGAGCTCAGGTCATGGGGATTGCTCTGATACTTTAAGCCTGTTCTTCACACAAAGGGCCAACCCAGCTCCTTTCCTGAAGACAAAAACCTGCAAAGTACCCTCCTCACAGTGCAAACAGGCTGAGATGCACATGAAGCAGCTTCACCACAAGACCAGAGTTCTTCTTCCACTGAATCCTGGGGTGAAAACAACTTATTTCATTTTTTTACACATTCCTCCGATGTTCATCTTGTTCTGGTCAGCCAAGGCTGTGAAGTTTGAGGGTTTTTCTGAAGGAGAGCAGGATTTCAGTGCAGTGTTGCTGACTTTCTGTGCTCCGGTCATTCTTATTTCATGTTGCTGAGTCAGATTTAGATATCTGCCATGGGTAATAATGCAGTTTATGCTTAGCAGAGGGTAACACAAGTCTTTGTCAGGATTTGGCAACAGAGCTGAGAAATTGCCCTGTCAGGTGCTTCTGCGTGAGCAAACCCTGTTCAGAGTGATTTCCATGCTATATTTTTACTTGATTACTCATGGTACTGCCTAAAGGCTCCTGAAGTAGTTTATGGCTAATAATGATATTCTGAAGGCTTACTGAATATTTTCCAGCCTTTGATTCAAAGGATACCAAATAGGTTAAAATTCAACATGGAAATCTATTCCTTACTTAAATGCTGTAGTCTTGCACAGGGCTGAGAGGAACAGGTGGCTTTGGTGAGATCTGAAACTGCTGGATTTATGGCAGAGCAGAGATGAGAGCTGTGAAATGACCTTTGATAAAAACACTACAGAAAACGAAAACAGGGAGTGAAGTGGAGTATACCAGGACCAGCCACACATCCAGAATCCAGCCAAATTTGTATGGCAAGGCAGTACAAGAAATTTTACTTGAAGAGAATTGGGACTCAGAGCAAGAATTTAAAATCTCAGTAGGATTAACATATTAGTCAGCCACAAACACAGCTCATAATTCAGTGTTTCTGCAAAACAAGAGCAGATTGCCTCAGACAGGCTTTCTAAGATTTTTTTAATAACTTTTCAAGTGTCTTGAGATCTAAGTTCCATCTGCAGAAATAACCAAAGCTTTTGAGGGCCTATTTCTCATGGAAAGCCATTTAGTGAGACCTAATTCCCAAACATCCAAAATCTCTTCAGAAGAATTTGCTGAGTGACTGGAGTCACCTCCTGGTGGGTGTCCAGCTGGACACACCTCAGGGATGGCTAATTCTCAGGCAGGTTTGAACAGCTCTTACACCAAAACTCAGTTATATAATAAGTCCAAGAGCTGACCAGCCCAAATCTATGATGTTTAAAATTATAAATCACCAATGGCTTATTGGCATCTTGCCCATAATCACACACATAACAGGGTTTTGAAAACACCACTTCTTTTCCACATTGGACAATGGGCTCATGTGAAAAATGCATATTTTATGTTTGGCTTTTCTCAGATATTAAAATGAATATTATATGTGTTGTGTTAGAAAGTTATGCTGTGTTAATTCTCTTAAGTAGTGTGTTAAATATAGTTTTAGGTTATAACAAAATGTTAAAATAGAAACTATGCTATGTAGGATACTTTTTTTAAAGAAAGGACTTGCAGCGAGACAGCAGCCACAGGACACCTGAATCTTTCAGAGAAAAAGAATTTATTGCTCTCTTATCAGAAGAAATGAACTTCGTCCCACCTTGAAGGCACTGTTAGGATTCAGAGGAAGAAGCTGATGATGACCAGACAGAATCCTGTATTTGAATGGAATTTATGCACCATGTATAAGGTGTATGAATATGGAACAGGCTGTTGTTTTTAAGGGTTAATCCTTTGTTAACGGGTGTCCTTTTTCGGGCTCGTTTTGCCCAGAAAAGGTACCTGGACATTCGTAACTCTTTGTCTTTATTCTCTCATATTGTCCTAATTCAAATTGTCCAAATTGTTATTACTCTAATTGTATTATTATTTTTATAACCATTTTATTACTCTTAAACTTTTAAAATTTTAAAACCAAGAGATTGGCATTTTTCACCGTTCAGACCCAAGCAGGTCACTCCTCACACCTCATTTGGGGTGAAATGAGCCACACAAGTCTCGCCTTGCCTCACCTTTCCCAATTCAGCTGCTATCTAGAAGTTGGGTGTCAAATCCCAGCTCATCAAACTAGTCAGTTCATCAGTCTAGTCCCAGACTCTTTCCATAAGAAATGGGGATAAGAATGGTAAGCAAAAAGAAAATGCAAGACCTTAGAAGAGGCTGTATTGTCAGATCCCCTTTTCAGTAAGCAAACATTTAGATTGGCCTCTTAACAAAAGTGGCTCAGATAATTGGGTTAAATTATCTGAACCATCAGCTTTTCATCACAGGGCCAAAATCTCTGACAAAACTCCTGAAAAAATAAGAACTCAGAACTCTTGACAGTAATTTAATCTGCAATGCAGAGCTTTAAAAGTTGAAGTCCTAATGCCCCATTGGCCATGCACATTTCAGATACAGTCCAATTTGAAAAGTGATATTTTGATTTTCAGAAAGAAAACTGATATTTGTTGAGGGATTTAATTATAATTACACACTTTTCTTACTCAATAAATTTCCAGACCACATAAACAGGCATTTAATGTCATAGATACTACTGTTCTTTGCAGATGAAAATAAGAAAAGTTGAGATAAAAAATGAAGCACAAGGAGTTGAAATGATATCCTGATCAAGGAAATTAGACAGAAATGACAAGGGGCTAGCATACTTGCAAATACTTGGGCAGCAGACATGAGTTAAGATCAGATTTGTTTCTGAGTCAGAAGCTTGTCCAGTGCTTTGCAAAGTGGAATCTGACTGGATCCACTTCTGGAGATGAAGTATAAATTGTAGCAGATGCCAATGACTTCTTAACAGAGCCCTGGGTGCCTTTGACATGGGATATGTGCCTAAACATCTTCCAGCTATTTAAAAGCAAAGTGGTTAAACTGATAAAAATAAACAGTTTAGAAAATCTTGAGGTGTTCTGCCTATCTCAGAAGAAAAGCACCAGGAAATTTGTTTTAAGTGATGGATCTCTGAGTGCTACTTAACCTGAGGTAAAATAAGTGGGAAAGAAAAGGCAAAACACAAATGGAGGTGGCAGACAGGGCACTTGATGGGCTGGGGCTGTGGCATTTGTCTGCCCCAGCCAGGCTGAGGAGTTTATCCGTGCTGTGCCATTGGGAGGAATGATTTCCATTGATTTGAGGGCTCTTGGCAGGTGCTGCAAGCTGGAGTGACACTGGAAAACATGAAAGCTTTTGGATGTGGGCAAGTTGCAGAGCACCTGTGCAGAACCCACAACATCAGGTGTAACACTCAAGGAGGGCCATTGTGGGCATCACCACAGTGACCAGCAACAAAAACATTCTGAGCTTGGAAATGTTGTGTGAGCAACCTATGATATTAAAACAAAAAAAAGGTACAGCACAAAAGAGGGGCTGCATCCTGTGCAGGAAAAAAGAAGAAAAAGAAAGAAAAAGAAATAGAACAAATATTTAAAGCTGTTTTCTTTGTGAAGGAGGGGGAAAGTCCTGTCAGCACTTCAGAAATAAGTGGCCATGACCTCTTGAACCAGGATGAGTAAATCCTGTGTTCAGCAAGGTAACAACAAGCCTGGGGGCACTTGTGCAGCCTTCAGAGGCCAGACCATGGGTAATGAGAGCTCTCAAACATCTCTCAAAGCACTACAGCTCCTGTCACAGGCTCCAAGGGCTTCCTCTCCAAAATTGCTATTTACATGAGCAAACTTGCTATGATGAGAGGCTGCATGAGATCTCTCAGACCAAGCAGAGTCACTCCCTCATTTTCACCAGCACTTCAGCAAACATCATCTCAGCTTTCCTGTGCCTTAAGACTCATTCTAGTCAGTGCCCATTCCAGAGCAAAATAAAACATGTTTGATAGGGACAGAAGAGCTGACAGCAAAAGTTATGAAAATTGCTGTCTCAGCTCAATTCCTGCCACTGCTCTGAAAGAAGATTTCCAGTCTGGTGTGATTACACAAGACTGCTACTCAGACTGCATCCTGGCCCATGTCTTAAAATAAAACATTGATGGGAAAAGCACAGAAATCTGTTCCTTTTCCTGATTTTATTGGGATAGAGTGTGTCTGCACAGTGTGAAGATAATGCCCATAAAAAGTACCTGTGACAAATCTGTATCACTGTGTCATAATCACCTCATCTGAGCTGTTGTACCATGATATCATCAGAGCTATGAAAAGAGGTGAGGTGGCAGCTGCAAAGTAAAAAGAGCTTCTGACAGCTGGAAAACATCCAGTCTTTCCTGCTGGAAAGATCTGAGAGAAATCTATCCACTGTCACTTTCATGGATTTCATGGATACCCCAGAGTTTAATTTCCCCACCTCAGCTGATGATCCTGGTGCAGCAGGAGGCACAAGCTTGCTGGATGTCTTGTACACAAAGGGAGCTTTTAAATGTGTTTGCTCAAACAGACCTCATCACCACCTGCCCTCTAATGTTCACTTTCAGCTACTTAAACTGTTTTCAGAGGCTGCTGGTAAACATGCTGCTAATAGGTAGCCCTGTACAATCACTACCAAATGGACAGAAGAGCAAAGAATAAATGACAGAAAACAATTTGACACTGTCCAGGAAGGATCTAAAGAGCTGTTGCATTTTAACATCTGAGTCAGTAACTTAACATGATTGTAACAGAGGATTACTGAACAGATCTGAATAAATGCAGCTCTTTGGTTTTATTGTCTTCTATCAGAGGAATCTGGCAAACGCTATTCTTTATGATTAAAGTAATACATTTCATTAGGTAAAGCTTCTTGGTTTCCTAGGTGCTTGCAGGAGCAATACATTTGAGGCTGTTCTTCACAAGATCCTGGTGTAGCTAAAGCAGGATCTTTAAGAATACTCATTCAACAAAGGGCTGAAAGCATGAAAGTGAATCCCACAAACCCAGAGCTGGATTACAGAATTGTGCCCTAAAGAAGAAGAGCACACAAGACAAAGTACAAACATTAAAATTCTAACAAATTCTAGCAAACATTAAATTCTAACAAATACCTGTAAAATCTCACGTGCACCGTGTACCAGCACCAGAAAATGAGAACTGTTTCATTTTCACTAAAATATAAACAAACCTCTTACCAACATAGCCAGGAGTGCCACAGGCTGTGGACATCACATCTCCTTTACCCTCCATCTTCGACAAGCCAAAGTCACTGATCATGATTTTTGACTCCTCATCCTGGCTGTAGTAAAGCAGGTTCTCAGGCTAGAAAGGAGAATAAGCAAAAGGAGTTTTGAATACTTGGGTTCAGTAACAACACCTGGTGACCCATGCATACCTTTTATACAATCCCTAGTCACACCATACACAAATACAATTTGGTTGCCCTAAGTTTAAAGAGTTTTGCTTAAAACCTACATGGAGATCCTATCCAGACTCCTGCATGGCAACAAATGGAAGACCCTGACACCCTGAGCTTGAAGCAACTTTTTTGGGCCAATAAAATTCTCCTCTGGCACCTCAAATAAGACCTAAGGCTCATGCCCTACTTGTGAGATATGTCTGATCCATTTTCACTTCAGAGAGGTGAAACAGAAGGATTCATTTAAAAGCAAGTAAATACAGCAAATCCAGGTAGTGTACTAAAAGATTTTATACAGTATTTGAAAAAAGAATAACAGGAAGCATTAGAGATTTTTCTTTATCTTCTCCACTAGAAGCCAACTGTTTTGAGAGAGGAAATGCCTTTACAGTTAACAGACTTGAAGCAAGGATATTTCAGCTAGAGCTGATTAGGAAAAAATGCTGCAGGAAAAATGTGCTCTAGCACTAAGCACAGCAACTTGTTTATGGCAAGAGAAAACAAGGATCATTCCACAAAGCCCTGTGACTTTTTATACCAGAGTCAGGCAGCTTGGAGAGCCCATCCAGCCTCCATCTGCTCCAGCCAGCCCTGCATCCATGTGTTCTGAGTGTGCTGCTGCTGCACAGCAAAGCTCTGGCTGGGTGCTGGGAGAGCCCCCCTCCTCCCCTACTCAACATCTGGGCCCATGAAAGGATCCACACCTGCAGCACTCAGCCTGGAGACAATGGGCTTTGGACTTTGGGGTCTTCACCTGTAAAAGTGACAGGTACCTGTTGTCATCTTACTGCAGGGGTTCCATACTGTTGTCTCCTTATCACAAAAATCCCAAACCTTCTTGGTGCTTCTCATGGACAGCTCCTCAGAGCACTGACTCTTTCTTCTTCACAAAGCAACCAACAGACTCCAGTTCCCTTCTCAACCACCCACCCCATTTTTTTATTGCATCTTCTTCTCATAGGTCACAGCTGTGGCCTGTTAAAGTCAGGCCTGCTTCTAATCTTTGATAATTGATCCAGTTGCATCTCCTTAGAGATCAGATTACTTTCTACTCTATCTTTATTTCATAATATTCTATCCTCCTACAGGTACCCAATATTTCTAAATAGCCTCAGTGGAGTCTTTTACCCAAAGCTGGCACAAATGCTGACACACAGCCTGCTGTGTGCTCTAGGGAATGGTGAGGAGCAGCTGTGGCCACACAACATCCTCAGACTCTCTGGGGCACAGCCAAGCTTGGATTTGTGAGGAGGAGAAACTGCAGTTTAGCAGCACCAGAATCCACATTCCCTTCTCCACCTGCCCTGGGGAAGGGGGGGATGACGGGGTCCTGGAGGTGATGTCCCCATTCAGGAGGTTAAAGCCATTCCTGCTCCTTAGCCCCAGCATCAAGCGATGGCTTGATCCATGGGACATGTGGAAACATGGCAAAAAATGGCTGTGAGAGGATCTGCAAGCCACAGCCACAGCTGTGGGCCAGCAGGGCTGAGGTAAAAAGGGAAATTATTTGGCTCCTAAAAATAAATATGCAGTTGTACCATTTATGGTTCTTTCTCATGGTAACTCGCAAGTCCAGTGCTTTAATTGCACTTTATAGTGTTGACACTCTTGTAGGGACTACAGTTTCCTGCCATGCTCTGCCCTAGGCTGGAGTCACTCCTAATTTTTACTACAGCTCTTGTGATCTGCTGAGGAGAGGTGGTAGACTTGGAATTAAGGGAAAAGCAGTTATTTCCTAACAATTTCTAATAACTCACCTCAGGTTCCGACATACTCACATTTAGTAAGGCCAAGAAACCCTTACATTTAAAAGTCAAACTTGTTTAAAAGAATTCTGTTAATTCAAAAACCCTTAACAAGGTGGCTCTGTACCAAGTGGAGCTGCTTGAGCTTCCACTCCTTTTGTGCATCCTGGAGTTCCCCCAGACATCACCTGCTGCCATTGCTTCTGATCTGCTCTTGCTTTACTTAGATTAGAGACTTGGAGCCCAGACCTGCTTTTACCAACTGCAGCAGGTCCTATTTTGGTATCTGAGTAAACACATAATTACAATAAATAATTGTTATGGATGCTTCATGGGTTGTGTTTTTGTAGAGTGGATTCTTTCCCAGAGTTTCATTTTAAATCTTACACTTATTTTGATATTTTGAAATCATAAAAAGTCTTATTATATCCCTGTTTTTCTCATCGTGGTATGTTTTTGCTAACAGAAATTCACAGCAGGTGTTCCTCATATACTGCATTTTATGAGTCATTTTGACAATTGACATGATATTGACAAAAATCTGCAAACAAAAGAGAGAAAAAGAGCTACTCTTAGCTACAAAATACCACTGGAGAATGTTGATCTAAATTCAGCTTGGCCTTACATAAACTCTGAAAGTAATCTGTACATGAATTTAATTCCCAAATCACCAGACCTCATATTTTATTACAGGAACTTTAAAATAAGATTATTTTTTAAAATGAGAGGTATAACCTGCTTTAGATTATAAATACAAGAATAACAAGACCTTGTACAATGGAATATCTGATTTAAGAGGTCCTGGACCCCACTCCAAAAATGCTGGTGGCAGAAAAAAGCCTGAAGTTGTTACCTAAAAGTTGAATTTGGGAGCAACATAGTCATGTTAAAATACAGCACTTCCATACTGCAATTCTTTGGAGCTCTTATAAATATAAGAATGTTTCTATGTACTTCAGCATAAGGGCAGGAAATGAACAGGAGCTGAGAGCAAAATGTGGAGACTGCAGGAGATGGAAGCCTAACCAGTGCCTCCTTACAGGAAACCCATTATTTGGGACTGTCTGGACTGCAGTGCAGAGCCTCTTGACTCTATTAGTGTTCATTAAACCTTCTTATAAGGCTTATATAAGGCTCATAACATGTAGCCAAATTCCACTCTCTTCACAGAGGGAAAATACAAGCTCTGCCTCAACATCCAAGGAAACTCCTGTTTGGAGCATCCCTCCAAAATACACCCAGAGATGTTATTTCCATCACTGAAGTCTTCATTTCTGGCAGTAAACTTTGGCAGAATTAACCAGCTCGGGAGCTGAACCCACGGTTTTCTTTTGAAATTTATGTATTTTTCTAGTATCTTCTGCTAACTTATTTCTTAAAACATTAAAGTGCCATCAAATCCAAGCCTTTCTGCTTGTCTTAATGGCACTAAAGATACTGGAAGAAAACAATAAAACAACAACATTTAGGGAGTTTTAATACCTGAAAAGCTGAGAGGTTTAGATGTGACAATATGGTGCAGCTGAAAGGAAAATAATCTAAATATCACACTGGCACACAATGGTCCTTAGAAGAACCCTTGCTGTGAGCCAAAACACTGCTTCAAATGATAGGAAATCATGATAGGAAGCTCAACTTTCTCCCACTATCGTTACCAGTTATTATTAAGTAAATCTAGTGCAGCAAACCTGCAAAATTCTTTCTAGCAGTGAACAAACTTCAGCTGAGATGGGGTGTGGCATTCACATTCTCTGAAAAAATCCCTTCACCCAGAACTTTTCTCCTGGGAAGCTGAGAAGCCTCAGAGAAAAGGAAAACAATTCTTATCTCATTTGCTTCTCCTGTGTTGTGCTCATGTGGAATGTGTTTGGAGATTGTTTACCCACAGGTGATTGTTCCATTGGTTTCATGTGAGTTGTTTTTACTCATCAGCCAATCAGGCCAAGCTGTGTTGGGATTCTGGAGAGAGTCAGGAGTTTTCATAATTATCTTTTTAACATTCAGTAAGTACACTTTCTGTATTCTTTAGTAAAGTATAGCATTCTTTAATATAACAGTATTGTAAAGTAATAAATTAACCTTCAGAGAACATGGAGTCAGATGCATCATTCCTGCCTTCATTGGGGCATTCCCTGCAAATATAATAATGGGGTTTCGGCCTTAATGTAATATTTCGGGTCTGAATGGCTTTTCCTCACATCAAACATGCAAACCTCCCACTGTAACTGCCCTGACTGAAGAGTCCTCATTGAAACCAATTCCATGGGCATTGGAACCCAGGGCACAGGGAATATTTCACTGCCTGTACTGAGAAGTCCTGATCCCCAGGAGAACACTGCTTTTAACCTTAGTCCATGGAGAAAGCTTCCGCGACTTCAGGATGAATTGGAATCTACAAGTGTGTGAAATAGATAGTAGTGTAGTTTATCACACCATGAAAAACTTAAGAGTTTTGGGGGTTTTAGGATGGAGTTAGATAGAAGACAAGATGGAGGATTTTGGGCATTGTTTGATCTCCTTCTTGTTCTTCATCTACTCCATTTTCTGCAGTATTGATGGCACAGAGTGATTGGTGAGAAAGAACCAAAATTCAGATGTTGCATGAACAGACAAATAATTAGGTATTGGTAGAAAGGTAGAAATAAAGTAGGTTAATTGGAGAGTTAATTGGACAAAATAGCTTTAAAAGACCTTGAACCTGTGTGTCTTGTGACTTTTGGTGCCTTTTCTCTGTACACTAAATCTGATATGTAGATGATGTGCTGAACTTCTGATAAGAGAAAAATAAACAGCAACCTGAAGACTAAAAAAACCAGAAATCCTGTTTGTTTCTCCATACTGGCAGAGAACTTTTTAGGGATCTCCCATCAGGGTGATCCTTGGGAGGGAGGTTTCCAGGAGGCTTTGAAGCATCTCTCCTGTGGTACAGCCTTACTGGAACAGCCAGTCCCAGGGCACACACAATTACACAGCCTCCATTGTTCTTCACAATAAACAAACTTGATGTGTTTGTTGGGCTCACACAATTACACAGCCTCCACTGGCACTGCCCAGGGGCCAGAGAGGTGCTGTGGCTGTACCTTGAGGTCCCTGTGCACGATGCCCATGCGGTGCAGGTAGTACACAGCGTCCAGGACCTGCCGGATCAGCGTGCTGGCGTCCTTCTCCGTGTAGAAGCCCTTCTCCACAATGCGGTCAAAGAGCTCTCCCCCAGACACTCTGCAAAACACAACGGGAAGCACAAGAGTGAGGATGTGTTTGTAATGCCCTTTCTGTATCATTAAAGGGTGGTCAAGGGCATGCACTTGACACAGGCAGGCAGAGAGATCTGCCTGTGGCTCTGGGGCTCCCCCACAGTGCGTCCCAAGGAGGGCCATGAGGATGGGGAAGGGTCTGGAAGGGGAGTTTTATGTGTAGGTGCTGAGGTCACTTGGTGTGGTCAGCCTGGAGGGACACCTCAATCCACTCTTCAACATCCTCATGAGGGGCAGTGCAGGGAGAGGCACTGGTCACTTCTCTGGTGATCAGTATCAGAACACGAGGGAATGGCCTGAAGCTGAGTCAGGGGAGGTTTAATCTGCATATCAGAAAAAGGTTCTTCATCCAGAGGGTGGCTGGGCACTGGAACAGGCTCTCCAGGGAAGTGGTCACAGCCCTGAGCCTGACAGAGTTCAAAGTCATTCAGACAATGCTCTCAGGCACAGAGTGTGATTGGGATGTTCTGTGCAGGGCCTGCTGGACTCAATGGTCCTGATGGGTCCCTTCCAACTCAGTATATCCTATGGTTCTATGAACTGAGTTTGATTTTTTCCAAGGACTGGTCAGGCTATAATGGAAAACCCATCACACATTAGGGAGTGGACAAAGACTCTCTAGTACTTGCAGCGGGAATCACAGACATACCCCAGCAAGAGCCAGGGCAGCAGACCCTGCTTTCCATGCTGTCCTACCCAGAGAACTTCGCATAGGCAGTTCCCTCTGCTAGTGCTGGCCCACTCAGGCTGTAAAGCTCCCCCCTTTTATGATCCCTTGGGGTTCACTTTTCACTCCACTGACCAAGGCTTGGGGTTTCCCTGGAGGAATGCTCCCATTCTTTCCCCAGTAGCGAGTGAAATGCATTCAGGAGTTGCTGCCACTACCTATAGAACATTATTTTATTAAAGTAGCCTGCACCTCTGACAATTTTAAATGCTCTCAGAGGTCCCTTCCTTTACTCACACATGCATGCCCATTTATCTGCAGCCACAAGGTCTTTAGGCAGAGCACAGCCTCTGCCTGGCACTGGTAGGAGACAGTTATTGATGAGGAACACAGATTATCAGTGCAATTCATCACCAGATGACACAAATGAGGAAAGGATCCCACAACTCAAAGAGGAAAGAAAATAAAACCTTGACATCCCACTATTTAATGTCTGCTGTACTGCACTTTTTCCCTGCCTTGCTAGAAATAACACGTTCTGAACCCAATTTTAAATAAAAAATGGCACATTAAAACTCCCTGGAGGAGTATCTGAGGAAACAAAAGAGGAAAGAAATGTTTGAGTAATTGAAATAATAAAACTGTCAGCAAAATACTGCCCTACTAGGGTAAATAAAAGATTTCCATTTTAGCAAGCAAAACCTATTAAAAAATAAAATGTATGCGAACTGTTTCTTCAGCAAGTTGCACCACTTAGCATATCATAAATAGCACAGTAAAACTTTCTTTAAAAACAAACCTAATAAAGGGAAAATAACAAATGATTACAGTCATTAAATGCATATGGACTGAGAGCTTGCCATTACACAAACACTAGGTAATTCAGCCACTCCAGGCAATAATCTGCTGGAATAATAACATGAAGTCACTTCCCAGGGAAGTTTGGAGCCTGAATGGGAGAGAATGCTACCACTAAAACTGAACATATTCAGCTTTGGAAAAGAAAAGCAACCCTGGAAACCTTGAAAGAAAGAAACCAGATAATCCCTCTATTAAGTGCTAGGCAAACAAAACAAACAGCTTACTGACATACTGGCACTATATTGAAACTGCAGGAAAGGTGAAGTTCACCCAGGGTCTGAAGTCCACCAGCAGCCTGAAATAAATCACTAATTCTTTCCTAGTTTCTCAAAACAGGGGTCGTATTTCTCACATATACATATTTATACATACATATGTGCAACTACACAGAGTGTTGCTCCAAGCCCCTCTTGGCCCAGCCCATCTTGTGCCCTGACAAGGGAGAACAGACTCACCTCACTCTCACTGTTCACTGAAGGCAGATACAATTTTATTGAATATGGCTCCTATTAGCTGACTGTCTTTTTATATTTCCCTTGCAGTCCCTTTGTTTCCTGTGGATTGATTGCACTGAAACTTGAGCCCACACAGTAATTAATATCCCAGAATACAGCACATTTCCCATGAAAATGCAGTGTGTGCTGTTTTGCAGGTTCATACAGTTACTTTTGTTACACTCAAGCAATGACTGCTTTAGTAGATACCAATTTACATCACGTGCTTTCCTGCATGAGGAAACTCTCCTTTGATTTTTGCAGAGTATATTTCCACAAAATATTTTTCACTAAATTGACAGAATCTCCCTCCATGCCAGCTCACTCCCTGCCCCCCCTTAAGCCTCATTCTTTAATTGAAGGCCTTTCTTAGTCAGATTTAGTCCAGTGGATCCACTGTACTCGGGCTCAATCTGCTTGTAATTTTATTTCAACACACGGAAAATATTTGCAACCTCTTAAATGATGCACTGCAAACTAGCGCTTAACCCAAGCACTCAAGGGGGAGCAGCCCTCACATTTGCAGGCCCTTGCTTATTGAGAATGCTGACAGCATCTCAGGTCCATGCAGAGAGCCAAGGGTTTCATGCTCCTATTTATTAGTGTGGTGACTCTGTGTTATGGTGCATTACAATTTGCACTTTAGAGTTTCCCTGATGTTGGCAAGATTCCTGGCTGAGCTCCACCTCCCTGGGGTGTTCAACTCAGCACCCAAGGCCTTTCCACATGGAGCTTGTGTCCTTACGGCTTTTCTCCTCCAAGATAGGGTTAACCCAACCACAATGTCATTGGGAATGCTGTTCCCTGCACAGCACCCAAGGACTGACACAAGTCAGTGCTTTGACAGGAGCAAACCAGCAAAGGCAGCTGTGGGAGAGCATCTGAGCTCTAAAATCATGGTGGAGATGTGGCCTGTTGGCTGGTCTTGATCCCAAGCCCCCCTGCCCTGCTGAGATGGGACTTGGCATCTCTTCTGAGCAGACCTGGGCACTCGTAAAGTGTTCCTGCAGTTTGTTCCAGTCTTTAATACTCTGGAATAATTATTTTCTTTTTAATAGCACCATCCAGCTTTGCCTTCTCTATGGCAATTTTGAGGCAGAACTGAAACTGCAGGCAGTAAGAGCAGAATTAGGTCTTTGTTTTAAGGGAACTTAAGACAGAATTTTCTGTCCAGAAAGAGAGGGTAGGAGGGATTTCTTATTAGTGGAAATTAGAGGCCTGCTCCTGTCTTGCAGCTGGCACTGGCTCATGGAGCTGGACACACAAACAACAGCAAAAGGAACCTTTTCCCCCTGAAGATTTCAATCTTGGTTCCCAGCAAAGAAAAAGTCAAAGGACAACCAGCCAAGTTCAGGTACTTGAAAATCATTTGACTCTGGAGCAGCTCAGGTGTCACACTGTGATCCAGGGCAGCTTCAGCCCTGCCCAGGGACTCAGAGCTGGGCAAAACTCAGCAAAGCAGCCACAGCTGCCTCTTCTGTATGGATGTGCCTGCTGGGGCTGCCTGGATGGAACATGTGGCTCCAGCCCTTGGTCCTGGCTCAGCCACTGAGCTGTGGCTTTTCCCTGGTTCTCCAAGCAGCTTGGGAAAAGCGCAGCACCTGGAGAAGGGGCTGAGCAAAGAGTCCCCATGGCACATGGACACCCCAGAACATGCTTTGCCTGCTTCCAGCAACAGGAAATTATTTCAAAGCAATGACCAGAAGAATAATTTCATTTAGAATGAAAAAGATACAACTAAACTCAGCCATAAATATGAATTTTTAACTCCTAATACATCTTTTACCTGAGGCTACATGCCTTAAGTACATGTTACTGACTAGCCACATGAAAAAGGCTAGAACAAACATTTGAGGTGAAAAGAAATAGGATTTGAGGGGAGGGGGGCAGACATTGCCCTGGTCCTGGTAGCCACACGGTTGCTGGTACAGGCCAGGATTTAATTCCATTAACACCCAGTTTGAGGAGGGACAGCAGAACCCAGCTTGACCATATATATTAAAAGAGACATTATCAGCAATTCCACTGGGGAAACACAGATTGCACTCTGTTTCCTGGGTTTCTTGAGATAAAAGCTTCCAGATCTAGTGTTTCATTAAGGAGACTTCATGTATTGATCACGCAGATGATACAAATCTTTCAGAGGACCTAGGCTGGTGATGGAGTTTGCAATAAATTCCTACAGTTATATTTATAATTTTTTATTTTCCTGACTGGATTTGGGGGAGTTTGCTTCTTCCCAGTTTGATGTTTAAATGCAGATCTAAACTCCCAGCACAAGCTGCCACACTGAATGGCTCAGTTTAGGACAGGTTTCAAAAAACTTTGAAAATACCAATGGTTTTGTACATGGATGAGCCACCTTGTTAATTGGGCTCTCAGCGTGTACACTGTTGGCTGAACTCCCTGCTCAGACAGTAAAAAAGGACCCTGAAAGACCTTGCCATGCTCATTAGAGGCAAAGGAGAGGTCACTCTAACAGTGACCTAATAAATACTCAGGCTCTGTTCAAGGATTGGTGTCAGTTCTTGACACTACAGTTTCCATATTTGTGCACTTTCTAATTTACAGATGTAACTTGTGAGAGACAAGGAAATATTTCAGCATTACAGGACTCACAGAATTCATAGAACGACTAGGTTGGAAGAGACCTTCAAAATCATTGAGTCCAACCCATGTCCCAACACCTCAACTAAACCATGGCACTGACTGCCACATCCAAACTTTTTAAAAACACATTACTATTTAAACACATTACTATTACATTTAAACACATTACTATTACACCTTCCCTTTACATTAACCCTTTTTACCATCAGTTCATCAAGAAAGAACCAAACTGGCAAAAAAGAAAACAGCCCATGCTGCAGGTAAAGGGAATTATCAAACTTTTTCCAAAGCATTCCATTCCTCTGCAGCACCATCAGGAAAGCAGAAGGTGCA